CACAAGAAGAGAGAGTCGTCACAAGAAGAGAGAGTCGTCACAAGAAGAGAGAGTCGTCACAAGAAGAGAGAGTCGTCACAAGAAGAGAGTATCATTATAAGAAGAGAGAGTTGTTATAGGTAGGAAGAGTTATTAAGAAGTACAGAGAGTCGTTATTAATAGGAGGCTTAGGCACAAGAGAGAGTCTACTTATTTTAAGCTACTAGATAAGGGCGAGGAATCAGAGTGAAGGATAGAACAGGAATCGAAATGGAAAGATCGATATTGAACTTGAGAACTTGTTGTATTAATGCCATGACTAGCACCTATACTAGGCTGAGCCTAGGAGGTGTTCTTCAAGGTATGCTATGCTATGCTATGCTATGCTGCTATTCGTCATGTGTTGTTTTTGATGAGTGATGCTGGAAAGCTCGGCCCTGAAAAGATATTGTCCAGTTCCATCACAATACCAGCAAGCTCAGCACAAGGAAGGTAATAGTTTACAGATCAAACGCCGGCCGGTTGTGAATGATATCATGCTGGTCGTGAATTAGGTTTTCGTCATCCATAAAGATGTTTGTTGAGGGTTGGAAGGTCCACAGTGAGCAAGGTGATATGGAAAGGAGTGAAGATCGAGTTGGGCGAATGGAGTGGACGAGATGCTGTGGTGAGAGTTGCCATGCCCTACTCAATGTCGGGTTTGCAGTCACATTGTCGTCTTCCACGCAAGCCCCCTTACTCGGCGGAAATCTGGATCCTCTTGGCCCCTCTGGATTTTTCCAGCTTGGGAACAACAACGCTCAGGATGCCGTTCTTGAGGCTGGCCTTCACATTGTCCTGGTCGACAGGGTTGGGGAAGGCAAAGCTCCTGGCGAACTCGCCGACCTGGCGCTCCGAGACCCAGTAGGTGTGCTTGGGCTCAGCTTTTGCCACGTCTTTCGGTCCCGTGGTGGCCACCTCTTTGCTGGAGGATTCGACTTGTTGCTGGCCATTAGTCGGCTCCGGCTTCTGGCCTTCTTCTCGGTAGTGCTCGGTCCGACCCTTGATGGTCAGCGTCTGGTCATCCTCGAATTGGATGCTGACGTTCTTCTGGTCGATGCCAGGCAGTTCGCCCTCGAGGATGTACTTGTCTTGAGCCTCCTTGACATCGAACTTGGGGGCAAAGGTGCGAGAGGCCGTCTCAGATAACTTCTGGAGCTCGGAGAAGGTGTCGTTGAAGAGGTTGAAGAAAGGACCGAGTTCTTGTCGGGACGGTCCGAAGGAGGTGCTTAGTCTTGGGAACAGAGCCATTGCGAGAGTGTTACGTGTGGGTTTGAGTGAGGGAAGTGTGTTGATTTTGACTTTTAGTCGCGATGTCTAGAGTGTATTCAATGATGTTTTTCTGATCTGATCTGGTGAACTCGGTCTAGAGGGAGACGTTCGGGGGTGATTTATAGCTTGTAGGTCGCAGGCGATGAAGCTTCTAGACAGGGGTGATTGCGTCAAAGGCCCCCGGAATGTGGCAAGAGAGAAGTGGTGTGAACTTTCTAGACCAATGTTGATATTGCCTCTTTGGGCTTCTCGATGGTCCTGGCGAGTGGGGGAAACGCCTGCTCGAATTTTCGAGAGCCCTCCACCACTCGAGTCGCTCCCTGGTCCCGGACGCACAGCATCCATCTCCTGAGGGTGTCGACGGCGCGTGGAGTCATTGTCCCCTGACCCTCTTTTCCATGCAGCACTTTCTCTTCCTCGCTCTTCCGGACAACATCCAACATCCGTCCTTTTCCTTGACAGATGGCGAGGCATGCAAGGCTGACGGGGATGTGCTTTAGGTAGTGAGGTGCAGTGGCGCCGCAGTGGGTGGGCCAGCACGTCATTACAACCGAATCGTCGTAGCAGGGTCACGTGTTACCCCGCAACCATCTCGATCTCCCTAGAAGTTTCCGGCACTTGCAGGCGCCAGAGGCATGAGCTTAGAGGCATTTTTAGGCATACTTGGAGCTGCTGGCCACTGGCAGGCTCTCACACCACGCCCACCCAAGACCCTAAGTCCACTACCCCCGGATCAGCCTTCCGACACCAGCTCTGCGTGCCGGTGGTAGGTGCACTCGCGTCATTACAAAATTACTCTGGACCTAGTACCTTAGGTAGGTACCTGGTAGGTAGGCTGTCACCATCAAGGTCAAGACAAGTGAACAGTTGCGAGCGTCTTGGGCTGGGCTGGATGGCAAAGCTGTCATCCAGAAACCAGAAACATTCATCAATTGGTCCTTCCACCAAGTATTTTGCAAAGAGAGAAACTCCGTATCAAGCCGGTTGACTCCATCATTCATGTTCCCGTCCCTTCTAACCAACTCGTGGCCTGAATTCCGACTGTTGCCAATAGCGCTGCTGTTAGCGTTGGGAATATCATGATCATACTGCGGTGGACCGTTCTGCGAGGTCCTCAAACTTGACCTCCAGCATCATCGTTTAGAACCAGGCAGCCTAGGCCAGGCCAGGCCAGGCCTGCCGCAGGATTCCGATTCGGCCGCGGTGTCGACAGTCTCATTAGTTGCTGCCTCCGTCTTGGGGTGTCATACGGGCCACTTCTTCCTTTGTCTTTTTGAATGAACTCTTCCGTCCAGTCGTGGAGGGTCCCTTTGAAGATACAGGATAAGAGCTCCAGCTGTCGCACTGGGGGAGTTCATGGGAACTGGGGCCCATGTTGTTCTCATTCAAATCCGAGCGGCTCCGGGCCTCGACGGCGGGACTGAGGGACTCTTCGACCTCGGGGTCGGAGAGCATCTCTTCTTCGACGCGCTCTCGTTGAGACCGGTCTTGCTCGCGTAATTTCTCCAGCCGTTCGGCCACTGTGGATTGATATTTGCGGTGATGCTGTGAGGACTTGGCGTCGCCAAACAGCTTTGTTTGTTCCTGGCTAATGACATTCCGAATCGAATCTACGAGGTGGCCCAGTTTCGAGTCACGACGCTCTAGGTGGGCTTCCGGGTCATGCCCGGTGCTTCTCCTGCTCAGAGACGGTGAGCTTGGCGCGCTTTCAACGACATCAGGGTGCTCGGTGCTGGATTGTGAATCGTGTCGTCTCATGGCAAGTGGTGTTTGTGTAGGTATGATTGGCAAGTGTCTGTCAATTCAAGTATTGGGTTCTCTGTGTGTTTGTCTTGTTGCTAGACACACAATGTGATATGGGAAAGCCTATCTTCTCATGTGAGTTATATACGCGCCATAAGCAGAAAACCATGTGAACAAAGGTCGTCTGGGGATGTTGACGATCGAGGCAATAATCATCCCGATGCAGGATCGTGCCTAGAGGACTGGACAGGGACAGGTCTGTAGGGAACCAAGGTTTGGAATGCGGAGGGAATGATCGGCGATGGTAGGGATCCATGACCACAGTATTGCCTTTGTCTTCGAGGTCGGCAGCACATCTGGGTCAGACCACAATCTGGCATCTGCACCTTGGCCAACAAATGGGCGGTGGCGGCCGAAATGGCGCATCTAGACCATCAGCGCGGCTTGGCCTTCTGCAACGACAAACAACAACAATATCAATACCAGTCCTGGGAGCTGGAACTTGGACTACCCGAAACGTAGACGGCTGTGAGGTTTTCGACGCATGAGCAAAGCAAATCCTTTGCTGACTCCCTTCGAGCTGGCTCTACAGAATGAGTGCGAGGGCAGTCGAAGCTGCACTGGGGAGAACACCTGCGCAGAAGGTTTGCCGAGGATCAAATGACCCCCGAAAACCTCAATGTGGACGTGACCACTTGAAATGACAAATGACAAATGACGCCAAGCATCACAGACCCGGCCAGAACGTCGAGTCTCAACTGTGAAGCATCGTTCAAGTTCAGCCTCGTCCCGTCTTGACGATGGTGTGACCGCCATCCCCTGCACTCTCGCCCTCATCGTTGGCCACATGCACGCATGCTCTCTTCAAGCCAAGATCTTTCTCCCGGAGAGTTTGAACGAGAGGATGATCAAAGATGGACAGCTAGTACAACGTCCACTCACACTTCGAAAGGCAGGCAGTGTCACCTGTATGCCCAGAAGCTAGGTATGTATGCCACGATTCTATCTAGGTGGGATATGCAACGACCTACAGTAGTGTCAGTCTTGTCTGCATGGCTTGTCAGGCGTCCCATCCACAAAATGCCTCAATGACTCCTCAATTCCGGCCACTGCCCTTCTTGTAGAACTGTCTCTCCTCAAAGACTTTGATATCGTCCTGAACATAGAGCTTTCCTTCTTTCTTGGCCTTCAACTTGAGTCTGTGGATTCGGCGCACATCGTACTCCACATTGCGGGTGAGGTACCATGAGAAGGAGTTGGCGACAAATCCAAGACAGACAATGCCCGCGCACACACCAAACGGCACTTTGTATCTATTGTGTGCATATCGAGATTGAAAGATCTGCGGGCTGACAATGCCCCCAAGTTGCGCAATTCCCGACTGTAGGGCGAGACTGAAGGCAGTCCCGGTGGATCCTCGTAGCGTGGAAGATCGCCCTGTCGGACCAACGTTAGACGCATGCTCAAACGAATGGCGGGCAGGCCCATGATACTCACAAGCCCAGAAGGGAATGAAAAACATAAAGTAGAAGCCATAGCCGAAGATCAAAGCGATGTAGATTCCAATCCGGTTGGTGAGGGAAAGGAGGAGGATGAAAGAAACAATTTGGCCCAAGATGACTGTCGGAGGGGGTCCTGGTTAGCCTGAAACTCTACAAGAAAACGAAACCAAACCCATCAATCAGTTTGAAAGAAGACCCGCAGTATGCACGTACTCGTAAGACATATCGCTGGCCTCACCACAATGGCGCGCTCCATGAAGAAATAGGCACTGACTGATCCCATGACCGAGAGAACAGGCGGTGGCTACCAGATGCTCAATTAGTTGCTGTTGCCAAAGTCACGCTTGCTTGCGTTGCGAGACTTACAATATTGAGCAGTTGATTTCGAGGTAGCTTTGCGAATCCGAGGGATGTAGTGATTGTAGGCTTTGCATTCGTCAGACCAAGATGTTTCCCGTGGGACGCTTCTCTAAGCACGAAGGACTTACTAGATACCACTGAATGGCCAGTCCTCCGAAAGCAATACAGAGCTAAATAGCACAAAATTGCCCTTGTGAGCTCGTGTTCGTCGACCATTACCATCACACCGGTTGGGGGAGTCAGGGGACACGCACCTGAGAGACCAGGAAGGACCAGACTCTGATATCTTTCAGTGAGGTGATCGTCTCCTGGAGCGAAAAAGCTGGGTCATTCGTCTTAGGGGCATTCTCCGACAGTCGAGCTTCAACGAACTCTTGCTCTCGAAGGGTGAGCCACTTTCCAGTCCGCTTCGACTTGGGATAATCGGGAAGGACAAGCCAGACCACGCCTGCGAGAGCCATGGTCCCCAATCCTTCCAAGAGGAAGACCCTACCAGACAATCGTCCGTCAGCATTTCAAAGAGATCGGCCAAGAACGAAGAAACAATGACCTACCATTGCCATGCACTCAGCCCGCCGATTCCGTTCATGTACGAGATTGCGAAACAGAGCAGCGAGCCTACAATACCAGAGGCATTTTGAAGGGCAAACAAGATGACCAGAGGTCGTCCCAGCTCCTCGGTTCGGTACCAGCTGGTGAGATGCGTGATGATGCCGGGGAACAGGCCGGCTTCCATGACGCCCAGGAAGAAGCGTGCCGCGTACAGACCTTGTTTGTTCTTGACCGCCGCGTGGCAGGCTAAGACTCCCCCCCAGAGGAATGCGATCCTCACCTGAAAGAGGCGCGGCTTCATCACTTTGAGCAGGAGGTTGCTCGGGGCTTCGAACACAACATAGGCGATCTATGAATGCAATGCACCTTCGTTCAGTGCTGGTCCGTCATGCCATGTTAAGCAATGGATGGGATTGGGATGGGGTGGGTGAGCCACTGACAAAGAAGACAGTTTGCACCCAGTTGTATTCGTTCGAGGTCATGTGGAGCTGTTTCAGTATGTTGCGCGGCTCTCCCACCTGGAGGACCTTGACGGCAGCGGCATTGTTTGCATCGATCTCACCTCGAAGTTAGCGCTCGTCCTGGGTGACGGGGACGGGGTGGGAATTCGCATACCGCTCGAACCATGGACATGAATCCAATAATAGTGACGATTCTCATGTCGACCTTCCGCATGATCTTTTTCTCTTCCTCGGGCGTGAACGTGGCCAGAAAGTCGGCATGTGGCTTCGATGCTACTTCTAGGCCTCCGGTCTCAGTGTCCTCATCGTGGTCGAGGTCGAGGTCGTGGCCGTTGCGGGAGTGGTCCACGCTGGGCTCCTGAAGGGTGATGGTCCCAGATTCTTTGACTGCTTGAGCTTGAGACATCTCGGCGTTGTTATTGTTTTCGATGGTATGGCCTGTCCCTCAAACCGGCGGGTAGATCGAGTTTCTCCCTTGCCCACATCACACAGCATCATGCGGACAGTCATCGTGTCTTTTATCGCGATCCTTTGGGCGTGTTGAGCATCTTCCGACCTTGGTTCCGTTACCTGATGGCGTCTTTCCGTGCGCACCGGGCCTTAAGCCTTGCACACTTTCCGACCCATCGATTGCACCATCCCGCGAGCGTGGCACGTGATCGAGATGTAGAGGCTCTGTCTACACACACCGATTCAAGGTCTCGACCAGTAGGCTTACTGTAGGTTGGGTTTGTTTGGTGTTTGTGGCGGCTTTGGGGGCGCTTTATGAAGGCAGCGAATGTATGCGTTGATGATGATGATGATGATGAATTCAATTGACGGCGTCCCAGCTGCTTCTTCTCATACAACTATGCATCCTATATATACTATAATAGTCTTCTTATCGTGTCCGTACTAGGCTAGTAGGCGTTGTTGTTCTTCCGGTGTAATCCTCCTCCTTCGATGAAATCTTCTTGGTAGAGTATATCTTCCTTGTAGTCCTTCTCTTTCGTCGGATAAAAACCTCTAGTACGAGTAGAAGATAACCGTACGAGATAAAGGTAAGGAATCGCGGTAGAGGATGTTGTTATCGCTCGAGTGTCAACCCGAAGGAGGTTGAGGCTACCTCGGTGGTTGGCTGTTGGCTGTTGGCTGTAGGTAGGTAGGTAGGTAGGTAGGTAGGTAGGTAGGTTACTGTCGCTAAAGCAAATAGCATTCTGAGGTCTCTGTTGATAAGTTGAGAGGTCTTGGTTTCACAGCCTACATGAGGCTGCTACTCACACCCTGCACCGCGTGAAGGTGCCTCTCGCGCAGGGCAGCGAATGTATGCGTGGAATTGTCAACTTGTCTTTAGTAGTAATCATTGTTTGGTTGCCGACTATCAGGTCGTACGATACTCGGAAAGACAAAATCCCAAAAGATTCAAATTATGCTGCTAGCTTTCTGGACAGACCTCAAACTTGAAACGGGAACCTGGGTGTTCAGGCCGTAACCGAGCATTCCCGGGAGTCCCATAAAGATTCTCCCTTGCCGTGCCTCCGGGGACGGGATACTCATTATCCCCAAGCCATCCTCTCTTCTCCAGAGCAGGAATCAAATAAGTGACAATGTCCTCCCAGGCCTGTGGGACGACGACATGAGAAAGATTGAATCCGTCCACGTCTGCTTCGAGAATCCACCGTTCCATTGCCTGCGCAGCTTGGTCTCCCGTGCCCACCACATACGAGGCATTGCCGCCAATCGACAGCCATTCGCTCATGATCCGTGGTGTCCAGTGATTGATTCCGTCCGGCCTCTGCACGATCACTTCGCGTTGCTTTAACGAGAAGTGCGCGAGTGCTGGATCTTCTACTGTGGTTGGCAATTCTTCATCGAGTGGAAAAGTGCTCAGGTCGATCCTCGCGATGCCGCCGTACAGAGCGAGGGCTCCTTCGGGGTTCGAATGTCTTCTGAACGTTTCAAACTTGGCCTGGGCTTCCTCTTCCGTTGCTCCCAGGATCGGCGTGAAGGAAACAAAGAACTTGATACTCTGGGGATCGCGGCCCATCTGGGCAGCCAGGGCTCTCGTCTTCTTGATGTTGCCGGCGAGCAGCGTCGGGCTTTTCGAACTGACGAAAATACACTCGGCATGCTTGGCCCCAAATTGGGCACCGGCACTGTTGTTCTGTCAGCAGGGGTCATTCCAGCGAGGAGAGGCAAAATCACACTTACGGCGACATCCCCGCTTGAAAGAGGACCGGTGTCCGTTGTGGACTGGGATTCACTTGATGCGCGCTTTTGCACTGGAAATACTTGCCTGAGTGATTGATCTTTCTGACTTTGTCAGGATCGGCGTAGACTCCCGTCTCTCGGTCGGCGATGACTGCATCATCTGCCCACGAGCCTTCCCATAGCCTGGGTGGCCGGTTGGTTAGGAAGATGGTCATTCAGCGCTCCACGACAGGTGGGATGAGCTCACTTGTACATTAATTCGACATACTCGTCGGCCATTGCATATCTTTCGTCGTGTTCTGGAAGGGACTCCAGCCCCATGGCTTGGGCAGCCGTCTCCGACCACGATGTCACAATGTTCTGTTGCTCCGTCAGCCCTCCATCCATCATTCCAACCGCGTCCCTTTGGCTCGTGGGAGATCGTACCCACGCCACTCGGCCCTTTGTAATATGGTCCAGGGTGGAAAACCGTTTGGCCAGGATGAAGGGAGGCTCGAACGTGGTGCAAGCAGTGATGCCAAAGTTCAGATTGGTCGTGACAGCTGCCATGGCCGAAATGATCTGCAATCAAGTCAATCAAACCAGATATGGCTAGGTTGGTAGTAGGGTATAAGTACCACGAATGGGTCGTAGAGAGGCCACTGACATCCGGCTTTGATGGCTGTGGCATGGCTCCCTCTGTAGACATCATGAGAGCCAAAGTTGTCCGCCAGAAAGAGAGCGTTGATCTTGCCGGATTCCAACACCTTGGCCACATGGATCCAGTATTCCAAGCTGCTTTTCGTCAAGCTCTTGTCGTCGGGGTTCGTCCACTGGCCAACGCTGAGGCAGGCGTCAGGCTTCGACACAGGACCCATGACCCAGGTGTAGGTGTACGGCTGCCATACCTGATGTGACCAACTCCGTTCATGTCGAAAGCATTGAGGAGAATCCGTTTCTTCGGCCCATTTGCCAACCGGGGAGCATTGCCGGCGTCCTTTGCTGTAGCCATTTGTGTTGGACGTCGCGGTGTGTATGTAGTTTTGCGTGCAAGGCGGTCGCCGGCATTCTATCCAGAACAGTCATGTCTTCGTTTTCCCTCCTGATTATGTGTCGGAAGAAGATACAGGGGAAGCCTTGTCGGAAACCAACATATCAATGCTTTGGGCTGGGTTCCGCGTTAGGGGTCTTTTCAGTGGGCCGTGAAGCTGGCGGGCACCTGGTTTGGCCGAATCACAATACGCACTGAAGTGCTCATCGGAATCACGCATTGCACAATTGAAGGACATGAGGGCCCACGGCCAACATAAATTCCTGCAACCCACTGCTGGGTCATGTATGTTCCGCTTCCTTCAGACAATCATGCTTCCGTCGGAAGTCGGCGTCAAGTCAACCAGGGAGAAGTATGCTTCCAGGGCCTGTGACTTGTGCAAAAGGCGGAAGTCGAAGTGCGACGGGAACGAGGTACTGTAAAACGGCACAGATTCCCGCCAAGGCCGCTTCGAACTGACGGTTACCGTGATAGCCCTGTCATCGGTGCCTCAGAGCCGGTCATGGTATGCATTACCCATCTCGAGGGCGTTGAAATGCCTTCGGATCTATAGTCGAACACTAAGACGGAAAAGCCTGTTTCTACAGTCCAGCTCAGGATCAGACCAAGAGAAAGCGTCGAGGTCTCAATCATCGTCATCACGCCGACTTTGCCGCTCAGGCGGTGACCCCGATCGACAGCCAAGCTACGCTCGAAGGATCAGACAACTTGAATTCTCCGGCGGTACCTCTAGAGGGCCCTGCTTTCAGAAACCAGTTCCGTCCAGGCGTCGAAGGGCGGCATGTCATCCTCCCAGACGAACCTGACGAGCCTGACGAAGAGTCTGGTATGTATGGACCACGTCCGGCCCCTGTCTTGCTTGTCGAACTGACCGCGAGAACGAGATGCGAGTGGATTGTCTTTTCTCCGAAGAATCTATCGCCATCTGACTTCTATCATCTCGCTTGACACCTTTCCACGCTCAATTTACTCTGAAGCCGACCAAGAGCCCATCTGGGCGGATTCTGCGCCCACTTTCTTCGTCCCGCCACGAGAAGATTCCGAAGAGTATATCCAATGTTATTTCAGCTATTCGAATGTGACCTACCGGTATGTCTCGAGACTGGTCATTGACGAGCTCTTCGAGCGGTTCTACAAACCGGATACCAGTCCTCCGAAGGATCACGGGTCCATGGCAATGCTGTTGCTGGTCATGGCTCTCGGGTAAGAATGACATGTGTCCAGCTGAACCAAGTTGTCTGGACCAGAGCTGACAGACTGTGTCCGCACCTTTAGATGCATCTGGCTTCCTTCGTGGAAAGGGAACAGCTTTGATCTGGCCAAAAAGCAATGGTAAGCCAAAATAAGCTGCTGCATTCTTCCAAGGATCAGACGTCGATCTTCGTCTGAACATACCCTTTCTCTTAGTGTTCGAATTCAGCGAGCAGCCTTGCGAAGCCTGCAGTTGGTCTCGTCCAATTTCCCTCCGTCCTTGCCTACAGTCCAATCCTATGTCTTGAATGTCAGTTACACCCGCCTCCCTATCCGATGATCGTCTTGCTCAGATCACCAGTGTCATCTAAACCTTGCTCTGGCCCGCTACGACTCGGCCTGGGTGTCATTAGGAATGGCAATACGACTGGGCCAGATGGTCGACCTGCAGTCGCTTGGGCGCCCCGCCAATCCCAACAACCAACACACCATGAGCTGTTTGTTCTGGTCGATGTTCATGCTGGACAGGTAGGAGAAAGTTGATCCTACACAATCCTCAGTCCTGACCCTGTGACGTAGGTATCTGTCGCTCGTCCTCGGCCGTCCAACCACCCTGAACGAGGAAGACATTACGCGACCATACCCAGAGACCGTTGTTGGCCCTCGGGGAGAAGTCGACGAAGAGGAATCTAGCCTGATGCCGGGTGTTGTGGCCCACGTCAAGTATGCTTGACTTCTCATCTTGCAGCCAATGCGGCCAGCGTGACCTGACTTGCATGTGCATCTAGGCTTACCAGGATCATGGGCCATATCAACAAACGTCTCTACCCCAAACGGATTAAACTCGACCCCCGAGCTCGTGATGTGGCAGTTGGCGAATTGGCGCAAGAAATCGAACGTTGGAAGGCAGAAACACCTCCATTTTTCAACCCGGAAGCAGCATCAGAGAATGGACCGGCCTCCCCTTTTCACATTGTTCCGGGCATTTTCATCCGGTAGGGCTGCTCGTTTCGAGCCAACGTCGAATGATGAACCCGTCGTCTAACTTGATAGGATCAGACAGCAAAAGTCGATCCGAGCCGCGTTCTATTACATGGAGCTGCTCCTATACCGAGGGTATCTCCTGGAAGAGGCGTTGCACAGAATTTCCTGTCTATCACGAGGGGAGCATGCAACCATCAATTCCTTGTCCATTCCGGCCCAAAAGTGCCTGGATACCGCGTTGAAGTTGGCCGGCCTGGCGGGAGCAATTCATGAGGACGCCATGTACAATGCTGCATACTGGGTAATCTTCCCATCTCGGTCATGTTGAAGCGGTCGCGGGTTTGGCTAACCTTTCATCCAACCAGGGCGTATCGTACTTCGTCTTCTGCGCCATCACCGTCATCTTGGTGTATTTGACCTTGTGGCAGGACTCTGAAAGGCACATTGAGATCAAGCATGTTGTCGACCGCGCGATGAAAGGGCACAAGAAGCTTTGTCACCCGTCCGATCTGCAGAGCCACCAATTGTTAGAGGTAAGTCCATAGCGTGCGCCCGGTCCCCAGCCTTGCGTCGACCCCGTTACATCATAGGATAACCTTTTACTCAGGCTTCGCAGGCGACAGCAAACAGGGTGGAATGGGGAAGAGGGACCAGCAGTTCGCGGATGCAGAATGCAACAGCGGTCAACGGCAATGTACTAGACCACGACGACGTATGCAATCCACAGTGAGTCGCGCTTCAGTTGGAAAACATAAACATCATCCATCTAGCTGGCCTCCACTAACGACATGCCACAGCTTGTCTTTGTTCGACGAGGCCTTCTTAGAAGGTGTCTCCGAGTACGGGACCTTTGAGAACGGCGCCGAGTTGGATTTTATCATGAATGCTGGGTTTGACTGGCGGTGACCACATACAAGTGCCGCCGTGTATAGCATCAGTTTGGAACCATGTCAAAGGCCAGAACCCCTGTCTCTCACGTCCTCGGTAGACGGACGGTAAAGATGGCCCAATGGCAGACGCAGAGCCACAGAGTACGTACTAACAGCTGGCGCTGTGAGAGAACTATGTACCATTGTACGAGACTGCCCATACTGTGGAACTCGGGTCGGTCGGCCCCACGCGGAAAGCACGTTTAGGCGATATGTGTCTTGAGCGGTCCAGGGACAAGGAACTTCGGGCCTATTTGTCCGCCGGCAGGAGCTTTACCTTTGCCCCTGGCTGCAGACATTCATGATGCGTGGCGAGGCTCCAGGAAACCATGGGCGATGACAGGATGGATCACTTCTTCACGGCCAGGGTGGAGTTTCCCAACATCTGGGCTGTGCAATTTGTCATCTATGGATCTATGGATCTATGGGCCCAGAAGTCAGTAATTAGCTGCCGCGTGCTCGACGCCCTGGCAAGGGATTCGCAGATCGATCGACGCGCACGATAGAATGTGGATGCTGTGAAACAGCAACGAAGACTAGAACTAGAACTAGAACCAGAATTAGAATTCTTTGCACTGTTCGGATATCTCGGCTACAACAGGGGTGGCACAACATCTCCTTTCGAACTGCTCGCAAGCTGGCGAGATTGTGAGATGCATACAGAAGAGCCACCTAATAATAATGTGCCATGGTCGCGTTCAACTTGGGCAGCAGGAGAAGCAAGAAGCAGCCGCCAGTGGAGCAGTGCCTGGTGTTAAATAGTAGTAAATACCGCAGATGTCAGACATACAGAGTACTCCGTACGTAGTCACCGACTCCATCCTTATCACTTCCTGCCGGTTTCGGATTTTGGGTGGTAGTCTGTGACAAGACATCGTACGCCGTACGGAGTAGAGTCCAAGCTAGGTAGGCGAGCTAACTAGTTGAGATAAGTTCGAGAAGCATGTGAAGGCTGAAAGCGGAAGGCTGAAGGTAGCTTGTGCTTGTTCAATGACTACTACCGTCTACGTACTGGTACATCGCTCGTGGCTTTGTGGACCTACGGAGCGAATATGCCGGTGTACGGAGTACTCTGTACAGCACAGATAACTCTGTAAACAGCGGATACCTGACCAGGACGCGATGCAACTTTTACTCTGGTACTAGTACGGATACTCCGTTATCTGGAGTCTGTACAGATTTTTCAAGCCGAGGCTCACAAGGCTGGATGTGATAGCGACGGAGCCGCTAAGCCGAAAAGTCTTAGTGAATGCTGATATCTCACTAAAAATTTCAGACTAGCCGAGTCTGTCGCACTAAGGCATTAAAAGAACTCACCGGCACGGTGGTGACGCAGCGTGGACTCGGACAACCTTCCACCAATTTCTCTCCCTCCGGTTTATCCGGGAGACGCAGGCCTAGTACGGCTAGTACGACTAGTGCGACGTCCACTGATTTCGCTGTGGGAGTAAGTCTCCATCGCTGAGGGCGCAGGCAGCAGGCGCAGGCAGCTGCAGTGGCAGTCGACTGCTCTCAACCGTTCCAGTTTCTCTCCATCACTTAATTGGTATCGAAGACGAGCTCTTGAGCCATACTGGCACTGCGAATCGACCCAAGATCGAGTGGCTGGCACCGTGCGGCATATCAATACGCTATACGCAATACGCGCTGCCAACGCCACCGCCGGTGTCTAGTGTCTACCATCCACCGTCCACCCACTGCTGGTGGAACTTTCTGAATCATGTCAAAGCTTGCGGCCGAAAGACTGCCTCCAATCACCATGGCCAGATCGCCAAACAATGGGAACACTCGCCCCTGTGAATCGGTGACACCGGTAGCAATATTGGGACCGAGTACGGATACTCACGCAGCTCTTCTATCTGTTGTTGGCCCCGTCGGCGTTGAACGTGCCACGTCCCACGTCGACCGGGCTGTGTCTGCCGGTACCTTGGCCACTTTGCCGCCCTCGCTGTTTGTTATCAATGTTTCGCCCGTTGGGGCATCGGGGTTTTCATTCACCCATGAGTACACTTAACGACATTTTTTTTCAAGCAGTGACAATTGTAGGCCTTTAATTCCTTTCGACCTCTCCCCTCCACCAGCCGAGCAGTCCATTGCAACTTCCCGGCCGCCGTCCCCTCGTCGACAAGATCCCGCCTATCATGGCAGAGAAAGACGACGTCGAGGACTCGGTTTGTCCCCAACTACCCATATTCCGACTCGTCGTCGATCAGGCTCGCGTCACCCCAGAAGTACTGAACTACCCTTATCGCGGGTCCGGCACAGAGCACGACCCTTACATTGTCAGCTACATCCCCAATGACCCGGGCAATCCGTTCAACTGGACGTCGGCGCGGCGATGGAATATCAGTTTTATCGTGTCTGCAGAAATCCTAGCCACGGCGTTTGCTTCCAGTGCTTTCAGCGGCACCATCCGAGAAATCTACATCGATTTCGGCGCCAGTACTGAGTTGATCACGGCCGGCATCTCCTTGTTCGTGCTCGGATTCGCCCTTGGCCCCTTGCTCTGGGCTCCTCTGTCTGAAATCTACGGTCGTCAAATCATCTTCTTCATCACCTTTGGCTGCTTTACCGCCTTCAATGCCGGGTGTGCCGGTGCCAACAGCATTGGGACGCTGCTCGTCCTGCGTTTCTTCGCCGGTGCATTCGGCTCTTCGCCTTTCACCAACGCCGGCGGGGTCATCGCAGATGTCTTCACCGCGTCTGAGAGAGGCCTTGCCATGGGTATCTTTGCCCTGGCCCCGAGCATGGGTCCAACCTTGGGCCCATTCTGTTCCGGCTTTCTCGGAGAGACGCAGGGCTGGAAATGGGTCATGGGTCTTTTGACCATCTTCGCTGGTGTCCTTTGGATCTTGGGTACTCTCTTCGTGCCCGAGACCTATGCGCCAGTCATCCTTCGGAAACGGGTGGACAAACTATCCCACATGACCGGCAAGGTGTACATGTTGGAGGCGGACAAAGAGAAGGGCCGGCCATCACTCAAGTCCCTCCTGCCAGCTGCTCTGATTCGCCCGTGGATTCTATTGTTCTTGGAACCAATTGTATTGTTGCTGTCGCTGTACATTGCCATCATTTATGGTGAGTGCGCAGATAACCTTGCGGAAGAGCCAACCGTCTTCTGACTGACCTTTTTCTTCTTACAGGCACGCTTTATCTCATGTTCGGTGCCTACCCGATCGTCTTCCAAGAAACCCGTGGCTGGTCCGAGGGGATCGGCGGCCTGCCGTTTCTCGGCGTGGCAGTCGGCATGGTTCTTGGAATCGTCTTTTCCAGCTACACAAACAGGTGGTATGTGAAGGAAGCGGAAAAGCACGGCGGGGTTGCGCCCGCCGAAGCCCGGCTGCCGGCGGCAATGTATGGTGCCGTGGCGATACCCATTGGGCTGTTCTGGTTTGCCTGGACCAACTATCCATCGATTCACTGGATCTCACCCGTGCTCGCCGGAGTGCCCTTTGGCGCTGGCTTCACGATTCTTTTCCTGGTGGTGACCAATTATCTGATCGACGCGTACACGATCTTTGCCGCCTCGGTGCTGGCTGCCAACACGGTGCTGAGATCGCTGTTCGGGGCCGCCTTCCCGCTGTTCACCAGCGACATGTTCAAGACCCTGGGCCTGCACTGGGGCGCCTCGATCCCGGCGTTTCTGGCCTTGGCTTGTGTCCCGTTCCCCTTCGTCTTCTATCATTACGGGGCGAGCATCCGCAGCCGCTGTGTGTACGCCGCCCGGGCCGAAGCCGCCATGGCCGAACTCCGCGCCAAAGCCGCGCGATCTGCCGCTGCAGAGGCCGGGGCCGAAACACCAGAGGAATCGATCGGAGACGAGAGCGAGGCTGAGAAGGAGGAAGAAGAAGGCTCATCGCCGCGGTTAGAACCGATCCGTCCGACCCGGACGAATCTCTCGGCAGACCGGGCCTCGTTGGCCAGGATCAAGTCCCGCTCTGGCAGCATCAGCGAAGCCGCAGACTACAATTTCAGCCCTTACGACATTGACCGCGTCAATACCGCCGCGTCCATTGCCGGCTTGGATCTGACCCGCACCAGGACGAGTCGATCCGTCGAGCGCACCCGAACAAATCGCTCCCTGAGAACAAATCGTTCCTTGTCGCGCAGGCGGACGAGTCGATCCCGGGAGCGGTAGCCGTAGGGGTGTGGTGATCCGTGAACGGTGAGAGGTGATCTGGAGGGAGGTGAAAAGCAAGCACGGTCTTGACCCGTCCGTCATTGTACAACTACTTAATATTTGCATCATTGCAGCATGGAGCCAGTACCACCCAATAGATTTGTATTTCTTCACGACCAAATAGATTTCGTTGCTGTTAGCATCGGCCCCTTCCTTTCTGTCAGACAGTATTGTGACAAGAGATTGAGGTTTTCGACCACCACTCCGGCTGATGAAAGACCGCTGATGGCACCCAGGCAGGGCCTACGGCATTGAAAGAAGCTACGGACGAGGATAGGGTGCATCATCGGTAGTCTGTATCTGTAAGTAGAAGTGAAGTGGAAGTGGGCCAACTACAGGTACAGAGGAGGGACGTGTTCCACATGCACATGCCAGTAAACACAAGGAACATGAAGGGGACATGAAAGGCACCTTGAAGGGACCCATCCGATCGAGGCGAACTATTTATTGCCATCTTGGGACAGTGGACCGGAGAGAGAAGAGGCTGCGTTGCCGGTGCGAATCGGCCCTCGCTGACATGTGAAATTTACAGGCATTCCGTCTCATTCAGTTGCCATTATTCTTCACTTTCGGTCCATACCATACCATTCATTCCTTTTGACTCGTTGCCTTCCACTATTCTCCGAGATCATACTTAGCCTTCAGTGTGTTCCGGTCGTTCGGTCAGCCAGACTTCCGACAGAGACTATCTAGTATCCATCCGCGCGACCATCTAGGGACGGCTTCGACCTCGACAGCGGCAGCGACAGCAATATCAGCCTCAACATCAACATTCAAGAAAGATCTCTCTATATATAATAAACAGGCGCAACCATGGCCGACTTGGAGCCCAAAGTGTCCCCACCGCCAGCCTCGTCGACCACCTACCCCTACCCCTACCCCTACCCCTGTCTCCCCTGGCTCGGGCCGGAATACAGCAACGACAACATCAACTTCGACACGCAGTTCCAGGACTGGCAGATGGAGAGCCCAGCCGTGGTGCTGCAAGAGGCCCTGGCCGAGCTGTGGAAGAGACTGGTCGACGGCATTTCCGCCGAGTTGGGCTTGGGCTTGAGTGCCTTGCCGGGGTCTGTGTCCGCGGCTTTCCACGCCGCTGCGGGTGTAACGAGGCCAGGGTCGGGGTCGGGATCCGGGTCGAGGTCATCATAACATCACATCTGCTCTCTTCGCCAGTGTCTCACCCATCACCGTCGCCAAAGGACCGAGAACGGAACGGCATGTCGGCGCAAGAGGAATTGGGAGGAGGCGAAACCCGACCTAAGGAAAGGAGAAGGAGAAACGGACCGGAACGATTCTGGCCTCACATAATATGTGCAATAGACAGTACCTAGTCGACGAGAACTGGCGGTGGTCACTGTTACAGGTTCGACGCAGAACTGCGATGATTGATGATTGATTTGTCTGGCATGTGACTCTCCATAAAGCAATATCACGTGCCGAGTCTTGGCGTACACCCCCTCTCCCTCTCGCCTACGCCTGCGCAGTCAACCTTTTCACACACCTCTCGCTACACCCTACATTTTGGATCTCTCAACTCTTGGAACACATAACTACGTTTACTTAAACACTCGTTCAGGCGTGGCACTTTAACGGGTGTCGTACTTATTAACGAGTGTTAAACGCACTTATATCTGCCTATCGGGCTAAGCAAACCTAGAACTTTTAGAACACTCACTATTAGATATATAGGAACTCGCTGCCGCGGAAGATATCCCACGATAAACGACCGATCGATCCGACGACCTTAACCTCTCTACCTGCCTCTCTATCTACTACGATCGATCGATACGCGTTGTAGACCCGGGGGAAAGGGTAGGGCTTTCGTGCACGGCGGGGGAAGACGACCGGCTTTGGAACCGTAAACTATACCCCCAAGATCTTATATCGTTGGAAATCCTTAGGCTATACTTAGTACCAGATCGAGGTCTCTACGACGGACTTCGTCGCGGAGGCTATCTCGATCTACGTATAGTACGTAAAGCTCTCTACGGCGTACTTCGTCGCGGAGGCTTTATATACGCGAGTACTAGCGAATAATCGACACGGGGTTGAGAACCGTGCAGGACGCGCCCGGAATAGGCTTTGACCCATATAGGCTTAGCTCCTTATAGGCGTACGAAGTAATTAATCAATCAATCAATACGCCTGCGCAGTTCCCATAGATCCGAACATCGAACGTTTACTCGGTTGATATCTCTATCACACCCGTAGGTTCAGGTTCGTGGTAGCCATCATGCTGGACGTCTTGTCAGGCAGACTTTGACGCAGAGATTGAAATTCCTCCCTCTTCACTTCAACCCCAACCCCTGTCTCCGCTTACAGGACGTAGCGAAACTCCAGGTTTTCTCTATCCGTCAGATCCAGTTGGTTGTTGGACACGATGGTCTGCGTCTTGGTGCCGTCGGCATCGACGGCCTCGACAATTCCCCTGTGGGCCACTTGGGATGCGGCTTCCAGCTTGTCGCGACGTCGGTTCTCCCTGACGAGGTACCATCGGAGAACCAGAATGTCGATCGTCGGAAGGATGCAAGCGAGCTAGAAAGACAAGAATCAGCAAACCCGACAGCGGCACATTGCTAGCATGATCAATGGGTAGCCCGGATCTCCCATTGGGGACCCCCGAGAAGAATATCTCTCTATTGTTCACTTACCCCCAGAATAATTCCCCACGTCGCATAATAGCGTGGTGCCCAGCCAGGAACAAAAAGTTGAGGCGAGAGGATATTTCCAAGACCATAGCCCACGTGATACAACGCAATGACAGTTGTCTTCTTGGTGTGGCCGGCCGAATTGTTGGATGCCCAGATCATGACCACCGCGTACGGGATACCGGCGGTAGAACGCAACCAAATGCCGGTGACCAGCCCCCAACGGTTCGACCAGGGCAACGCCATGAGCAGGATGTTGGCGATGGCGGCCGGCACATACGCAGCGACGGAGATCCAGGCACGGCAGTCGCGGGTGCGGTTGAGGAAGACGGCGGCGAAGGCTAGCGAAAAGAGCGACACTAGGCCGGTGACGCAGCCAAGGAGCGTCGTCTGGAGGGTGCTGAAGCCAAACGACTTGATGATAAGCGAATACTGGTTCGTGACGCCATTGGCCATTTCCTGGCTCCAGGCATGCAGGAAGAACATCCATGTCTTGGGGTCTTTGATGGCTTCGATGAACTGATATCGCTTGAACCGCTTGTGTTCGATGCCGGAGTGGTTCTCCTTGATGCGCAGCACTGCCCTCGCCCGGTCCTCTGGGCTCAGGAAGCGGGCACTCAACGGACTGTCGGGGAAGAAGAACCAGACTGAGGCGCCGAACAAGATCGTGATGCCCCCGGTGATGACTTGAGTGGGTCAGCATCCAGTCAGTAGCATGCCGTTGCTGTTTCAATCGTGGCGGAATGAGCATAACGCACCCATAAACCATTTCCACGGCTCAAACCCGCCCGTCTTGATCCAGAGCACACCGTAAGACAACAGCCCCGACGTGATGGGACTGGAGTTCCCCGAAGCCCACATGATTGGCATGAGCCACGACTGCTCCTGGTAGGTGAAGAACATGGCGAGGGTCAACAGGAACGCCGGCACGATACATGCCTCGGCCGTACCGAGGAAGAATCGGACCACAAAAAGACCTGCGAAGTTCCGGCACGGGATGTGGAGCAAGACGATTCCTCCCCTGAATTGTATACGGCGGCGGTCTCAGCACAAGGTTTCCCATCAGACGACAGTCTATCTCCCTTACCAGAGCATCAGGTTGGCGGCCAACCATTTCCCCACCGGGAACCGTTGCAGGGCCCAGTTCTGCGGCCATTCCGCCAGGAGATAGCCAAAGTAAAAGATGGACGAAAGCCAATTGTATTGAGTGGCATTGAGGTGGTTGTCTTTGAGAATGCCTAGGATGGCCGAACTCCCAAGCTATGCATGGCAATCATGTCAACTCCGCGTCGGCCATAGACCCGAAAGAGAAGGAGGACGAGTACTCACCGTCTGCTTGTCCACATACATCAGATGATAGCCGACGCAGAGAAAGGGGATGATTCTCCAGATGAGTTTTCGCTTGATCCTCAATGCTTCTTCCGGCGTAGGATCGTCAACCTGGACCTTGGAAAAGAGCTTGAAGCTTTCGTCGGCGAAGCGAGGAGGCACTTTGGGTGCGGTCAACAAGTCGGCGTTCCCCTCCGTTGCAGATGCAACCACGCCGGATTTCTTGTCGTCGTCGGCCATCCTGTCACGTCACGCGGCAGAAGTTTCGCTTGAGCGGTCCGTCAAGCTCCCTCTCTGCCTGCAAATCGTGGAGAAACAGAGGCACACGGGCAAGAGTGCGTTGAAGCTCCAGGAGATAAGTATCTTTTCGGGACGGACCAGGTCCTTTGGAGATCGACAATACCCGACGACTGGGCATCGGTCGGACTAGCCTCCTCGGAATTGTCACATTTGGCATATATGTGTATCGCCACGCCGCAGCGTGAACGTCGCGTGCTTTGGGATCCAGATGGGCTCATCGGTAGCGAAAACAAGCGTGCCATTCATGTTACATCCTTATCCTGCGCTCTGGAGACAGGACGGGGAATGGCCGTGGACGAGGAGGCTGCGGGGTGATCAGCAATACTGACCGTCAGCCTATGGCGACAGATGGGGGCGACACATATGGATCAGCCTGTACCGAGTACAGAGTACTACCATAGCAGATGGCACCACGACGGGGCCTAAGGCTGCGCCGCGGCAAGGATACGGGACTACTGGTGCATTGGTTATACTGAATTCTGCCCTATTATCACGAACATAGGTCCATTTGTGACATATCATCAGCGTCTAATCCCTTAGCGGTTTCGGGGCTGAACAGTACGGAGTAATCAGAGGACAACCCATGTCATCTGGCGTGCTCACATCCTTGATATTGCGTGATATATGGGGGAGCTAAGACTGTGAAAGCGTGGGTAGCACAGGGGTGGTATCTCTCCCCAGGCACCTACCAGGTGGATGATAGTGGCGCCTCCCCCCATCTCACACTCAGTACTTACAGTACGGTCCAGGACATCCCGGTCTCCCGGGGCGACTATATATGCAAGGGTTGGCGCAGGCACAGACACGGACACAGACACAGACACAGGAACAGGCACACGGTGTTGTTTCGGATCGGATTGAGCATCCCATCTCAACCTCCATATCAAATGGCGGAGGTCAAAGTCCTCATCGCCGGAGCGGGAATCGCGGGACTGGCGACGGCGATTGCGCTGCGGCGCTTGGACAGCGCGGAGCTCAGGCTCGACATCCAACTGTACGAGAAGGCGCGCGAGCTGAAGGAGATCGGAGCCAGCATCGCGCTGAGCCCGAACGGGCTGCGCACGCTGGAGCGGCTGGGCGTGGCCAACGCGCTGGACGACGCGGTCGGGTTCCGCGGGCCCAGCGGCCTCCCCATGATCTACCGGCACTGGAAGACGAACGAGGTGGTCAGCGTGGACGAGTTTGTCGACGTGCCGGACCGGCGGCATCAGACGGCGCGATTCCACCGGGCGCACCTGCACGAGGCGCTGCTGGAATACGTGGACCGGCGCACGATCCATCTCAACAAGGCGGTGCGGTCAGCGGAGGTGGAGGGGGAGGCGGACGGCGACGGGGTCCGGCTGTTCTTCGACGACGGCACCAGCGTGCGCGGCGACATCCTCATCGGCGCCGATGGCCTGCGCTCCAAGGTGCGCGCCGCCTTCCGGCCCCAACACTCGCTGCACTGGACCGGCCGCACGCTGTTCCGCTCGACCTTCGATGCCGAGCTGGTCGAGGGTGGACTCATCCCGGACCTGCCGCCCGACTCGACTCACTGGTGGGGGCCGAAGCACACCTTCTTCGCCTCCCGCCTGGGCAAAAACCTGTATACCACCGTGGGCAACTTTGATCCTGCAGCCGCGAGGGCCATCGGCCAATCTCAACCCCAGACCCAGCAAATCCAATGGGACCAGGAAGGCGACGTGGCCGTGTTCCGCGAGCTATACAAGGGCTGGAACCCCGTGGTCAAGGCCTTGACCGAAGCCACCCCCTACGTGCGTCTGTACCCCAACCTGGCCGGCGCGCCGTTGGATACCTGGGTCTTTGGTTCGCGCGTCACCCTGGTCGGAGACGCCGCTCATACTCACGGCGGCGCCCATGCTGCCGGCGGCTCGCTGGCCCTGGATGACGCCTGGGCTCTGTATCTGGCCTTTCGGCATGTTTTTGCCGCCCTTGGCCTCGTACCTGGTAGTGCTGGTGCTGGAGCTGATAGTACTGGAGCTGATAGTGCTGGTGCTGATAATGCCGGTGCCGGTGCCAGTGCTACCAATAACCCTACCACACAGCCCACGGCCTCAATTCCAGTTCCAGTTCCACTCCAGGTCCAGGACATCCACCGCGCTCTGTCCCTCTATGACAGGACGCGACGGCCACACACCGAACGCCTGGTCAAGTCGGTCCTTGGTGCCGGCGGAGCTGGAGCTGGAGCTGGAACTGGAGCGGCAGCGGCAGCGGCAGCGGTAACGCCGGTCTCTGAGTCCGACGAGGACGAGGACGAGGCCCTGAGACTGAAGATGAAGAACCGACCCAGCACGACGTGGTTGGCCGAGCATGATGTCGAAGCCGCCTTTGCAGAAGTCCTCGATCAAGACAAACACAACCACAGCCACGGCCATAAAGGCAATACACAAGGCCGAGGCTTCGGTATCGGTGTCCGTGTCGGTGTCGGTGGCCTGCCTACTCCTGCTCATGGTCGAGACCAAAGCCGACTGTGAGTGATTGATGTAGGGCTCCCATCGCCATCGCCATCGCCATCACCATTACTAGCCTTTGTATGATCCCGTCGTCAAGGCGGTCCAGGCGGTCAAGGCCATTCCTCCATCATTCGTTCAGTTCAGCCTTTAGGTCTAGCTCTGGCCCTGGCTCTGGCTAGCGCGGAATAAACCCACATAGACATTTTCACCATCGTCCTGGTGCGCACCAACGTTACATTGCATTGCATTTGCATCACAACAAAGAACTCGTGCAATTCTATAGACAGTGCAATTCTATAGACAAGATATCCTTTTGATTTGATTTTCGCCGGTGAGATGAGACCTGGTTAGATCATCCTGGGTATGAGTATATCTTCGACATCTTCGATATCTTCGTGCCTGACCACCTGTCCTGTCCCGTTCCATCCCGGGGTATAAAATACATTGATTTCCTGCGCCGTTTGTTGTCGTTGTGCACCATTCCATTCCCATTCGCGTTCCCAATCGCACTCCCAATCGCACTCCCATTCCCCTTCGCTCCTCACATAATTATCTCGTCCATTCGGAATATACAGCCACCCTTTCATCATTGAGGCTGTGGTGTCGACCCGGACCAACCGAACATCCAGTCACTCCCCTCGCCTAACCCCCCTGCCGGCCATATGGAATCGGGCCCCGGGGTCATGCCTGTACTGCCAAAAATCAAGTTTTGTGCTTGATCCGAAACCCCTTCGCCCAATGGATTTGTGGGAGCGATGGCACTCCAACCATCGTTGTTGCCTAGACCGAACCCCGGCGATGGCTGTTGTCGTGCGTTCTGGCCACCATTGCCGCCAAATGACATGGACGGGTTAGGAGGGGACGTGTGTGAGGTGGACGACGAATTTTGCTGGGATACCGTTGACGGCGTTGGATGGTTGGATTGTGATCTCGAGCCCGAGCCGGTGCCCTCGGGAGAAGTGTCGATGCCGACCGATTGCAGTGGCAGTTCGAATGTGTTGTCGAACCTCTCATTCATTGACCCCGGTCCCGTCGGAACCGTGTAGCCGCCACTACTGGAATCTCCGGAAGCATACAAACTAGGGTAGGAGCTGCTGAACGTCGACGCGTCGGAATTCGTCTTCACAGCGGGGGGGATGACGCCATTCATAATAGGATGATGTTGCTGTTGACCCTCGCGTATCTCGAACAGCGGAGAACATTTTATCGAATCGGTGTTGGCAGGAGATTCACCCTAGGCCCACAGTCAGCTGACGATCATACACAAGCAGCAATTAGAGACGGACCGGTGGTCGATGGCCAAACTTCCACCGTGAAGCGCTATTGGGAAGGTCAAGGCCACTCCCTTCCAGATCAACGTCGAGTTGAACCAGAAAGGACTCGGTCAGGGGATTCGTGGATTTCAAGACCTGCATGGCAGTGAGGAGGAAGTGCAATGACGATTTCACGGCCGCATCGTCTTTTCTCGCCTTGAGATACTGGACAAAGACCCGCGCAGCGACGTAGAGGCAGAATGCAAAGAATGGACTCATCTAGCAAATATTAGCACGACACTCCCTCGGACGGAGATGGAGCCCTACCGCGGACAAGTCCATGTGACTGATCATCTTCATGATGTTGGTGACCTGGTCTGCTGCGACAATGCATCGACGTTTCGATTCGGCACTGATCTGGGCAGGTAATTGATTCTTGTCGGCCTTGAAGATGGCGGCTTGGTGTAAACATATAGTCGCCGTATGGATGTTCATGTTGACGAACACGGTGTTCGGGTCGTTGATGCCTGCCGGCAAGCGAAGATGAGGCGGCAGCGACAACGATGTGTTGAGAAGAATGTTGTCTAAAGATCGGTGTCGTTTCCAGAAAGCACCATTGAGATCGTGATCATTGTCTTGCTCCGAAGGCCGGTGAAGATGGGTCAGATTGCGGCCGTAGAGCGTCGACATGAGGATCATCCCTCCAAACGACGAAAGTGATGACGCTCCGTCTCCGTTCAAAAGATCTGATAACTGAAGCGTGGGTTCCGGATGACATGTATTGAAGGCCTCGTCGCTGGCAGGCAAGTTGGTGAGGATCTGCGAGACATCCTGTTAGCAGGGCCTTCATAACCGACCATCGCACCTACATCGTGCTCATCCATGCACATGGGCCATCCAGTCCCCATGGATGCATATCGATCGTGGCAATACGTCAACCAAAAGGTCCGCCGTCGTTCTTCGCGTTCAGTCCAATCTCGTGGAGGGGGTAATGTCTGTTTGACATCGAGCCCGAGCCGGTCTTGTCGATGTAAGCCCATCATCTGGGCCAACCTCGCGGCTCTACCAACGCTCATCCAAGCCCGCGGGAAATACATGAGTTTGAACTCGTAACAGGACAGCAGCACCCAGGCTTGACAATGAGCGAGCGTGATCATGCTTTCTCCGTGACCCTTCATTTCGTCCATTTCGGCATATTTGCGCGCCCGCGCGTAGAAAGGTTCCGTATAAGCAGTGTATTTCGGTGTCACGGAGCACACATTCGTCCACATTGCATACCTCAGACTTGCTGGTGGGCGAATATAAGGGGCCAGATCCATTGAAGCGAGATATCTGGCCTTGTGGATCATGGGCATTGATGGATGAATCTTCTGAAAATAGATTTCGTTCCTGAAGTTGTCAGCAACCAAGAGGCATGCGGAAAAACGGATGGACTGACATTTCATCTACAACTTCTCGTGGCGGCAATGCCTCCTCCAAACCCAGACCTATCATTTCCCAGGAAAAATCATCGTCCGTATTCATGGGAAAATCATTGATCCCACCCAGAGCGGGATCGGTAAAATTGCCGTCTTGCATCAGACCTGACATAGAGGCGCCCTCAAAGGACGGAACACCCATTGGCGGTTGGGGCGAACCAGAAATGTATGTATCGGGCGCCCTTGAGGTCTGCGCAGCAGAAGAGCCAATCTCCCCGGGTATATCTCTTGATTCCAATAGATTCTCGACTTGCTTGAGGCGCGCCTCTAGCAGTTTGACATAGCCTCTTTTGGGGCCGCTCTTCTTTCGTTCTTCCGAGTATTCGCAATGGTGCTTGAGCCTGGAGCAAGTCCCGCAGCTCGGTTTGTCCCCGTCGCATTTCAACTTCCTCTTTCTGCACAGAACGCATGCCATTCTCTTTGGGCGAGTGGTGGCATCGCCGGACCCTCCGCCATGATGCGCTTCGTCCACCTCCGCCGCGCCTGGGGTGTCGGTGCCCGAAGTCATCTCACAAGTGCCCAACCAGACAGGATCGGTCAAGCGATATGAGACCAGCCGATGTCTTAGGGTAAACGCGGAACTTTGGCCGTTAGCAAACACAGATACATTAGGTTATGTTGAGAGCGACCGACGGTGCCTGTGCCAGATGGTGATGCCTGTGGTGCAGGCTGGATCTCTGACGATAGTAAAACGGCTACCGACAAGCCCATTGGGGAAGAGTGTGACGCCGCCTTATGCTCAGCATATGAGGCTAGGGCCTCAGCACCATCAAGGGTAAATTATTATCTTGTGTGACAAACATAGGGCGGCATACACAGCCTCCAAATCGTTTCCGTAAATAGTGCAATCTTGATCATCATACCAGGGGTTTATCTACCTCAACAATGATTGACCAGTTATTTATTGGGTTGGAGAACGAGCCCGTAGAAGCAGCCTAGTGAGAAGGACTATCGCCACCATCGCCCTCCTCGTTGAAGAACACTCGTACCGGTAACCAGGCATCGCCGCAGACTTTGAACCGATCCTTGATGCTACTCAATTTCTCCATCTCCTCGGGAGTCAACTCGAAGCCATCCAGCTGAAAGTTTGACTCAATCCGTGCTTTGTTGACGCTCTTCGGTATGACGGAGCAGCCCCGTTGGAGGTTCCACACCAGGAGCACTTGCTGAGGAGTCTTGCCATGAGCCTCAGCAATGGCGGCCAGTGTCTTATCATGTGCCAACGGTGAGTCGGTTGAACCCAAACAGGAGTATGCAGTACAGTGGATGCCTTTCTCTTTGCAGTAGGCGATGGTCTTGGGTGAGGGCATGTTGGGATGGAGTTCGATTTGATTGACCGCGGGGACTACTTTGCAAGATGGGTCGTTGAGGAGTTTCTCCAGGTTAGAGATGACAAAATTGGACACGCCGATATTTCGAACCTTGCCGGTACCAAGGAGCTTCTGCATCTCGCGCCTAAGAAGCAGTCAGTTGGATGAAGACCCACGTCGGAGTCGGGCATTGCGCACCAAGTGTCGATGAAGTTCCAATCGTCATAGTGCTTATTGAGATCTTCAGCAACCGTGGAACTGGGCCAGTGCATCAGGTACAAGTCGATGTAATCAGTGTCCAGGCTCTTCAGCGACGACGCGAGGCCCTCCTGAACGCGTTTGTGCCATGGATTGTCGAGCTTCGTGGTGATCCAGATCTCACTGCGAGGAATGCCGGAGTCTTTGATTCCCTGACCCACTTCTGCTTCATTGCCATATGCCAGGGCACTGTGAATCTGTCAGAGGCCCGAACGGGTTTCGTCGACTCGATCGGAGGTCTTACGTGTCAATGTGACGGTAGCCTGCGAGGAGGGCGTTCTTGACTGCTTCGCGGACTTCGTTGGGCTTCGATTGCCAGGTGCCCAGGCCAACGCCAGGCATCTTAGCCCCGGTGTTCAAAGTGAACACGGTCCTGACCAGAATAGAGTCAGCATGCTTCACGTCCGACATCAAACCTCGACCTCGAGTGATCACAGAGGCTACTACTACTCACTTGGTGCCCTTGCCAGATTGAGAGGTCGTCATTGTGCCTAGTAAGCCTGGACTTGAGAATGAGGAAGAGGGAGAATGGAGCCTGGAGGTTTGAAAAGAACAAAGGAATTCCTGGGAGGATATATGGCTCAAAAGAACGAGGGTTTTCTGGCAGGTTCACTGGGGATATATTGTTCAAGTTATATCCCGGTGGCCCTTTAATTTTGCCCGGACAAATAATCACTGCACTGCGCTGCGCTGCGCAACGAGCAGATAATGGTGGGGTGTGGCTACAACAACTACGCAATACATTTGCTTTAATTGAAGGAGGGGCAATCGGCAGGCCAATTAGGGGGGTTTGTAGCCTCCTAAGCCACTCGCTTCTCGTTCCTGCTGCGGCGTTTTTAGCCTGAATGATCGATAGGTGCCTAAGGTGGCCTCCTAAGGCTACCTACTCCGTACACTGTACAGAGATTGTCTGGAGTGTGGCTGTCCATAAGACTCCTGTCTGTATAGATGGGCAGCTGGAGTTGACTCCAGTTAGCCCTGCGACTTCAGTATGTAGATATTGTGTAATATGTGACGCAGTCTACCTGCAACAGTAGAGCAGGCCCGAATACTCGGATAGGCCATAGCCCGGGCCGCAGCTTGACCCAAACCGGAGTGGCAGCGAGTGGTGAGTTCCTCCAACAACTTGTACCGGCTGCAGCGAATTCTGCGGACAACTTTTTATTCTGATGGAACTGTCCATGTCGACAACCCAACCCGCCTTGTCTAGTTTAGCCTACAAAACACAGGAACAGTGCAATCTAACCGCGCCATGCAGCAACAAGCTGCATGGTTCCAGGATCGGAATTGAAGTGCTTGACGTGGTTATCCAAAGCGCCTGGTCCCCCATCTCGCCGCCTTTTTTTGGCTACATATCCCGACCATGTCACGATTTGTACCAGCCGGTACAGATGTCGATTCACTACCACCAGACGACGCTTGGCTAAAGGCAAAACAACAAGTAGAAGCCCAAAAGAAAGTGAAGGCCGCGGAAGGAGGTCAACAGGAAGGAGGCAAGAGCCTGTACGAAGTATTGCAACAAAACAAAGGTAAGCCACTGTTCCCTGCTCACCATTCCCTGCACTCCGTTTCCATGGACTTTGTCTGACACGATGGGGCATTTTTGAAACCCAGCTGCCAAGCAGGAAGCATTCGAAGAATCCATCCGCTTGAAAAACCAGTTTCGTCCTCTGGATGAGGATGAAGTCGACTTTCTTGATTCTGTGCTAGAGTCAAACAGAGCCAAGGAGGATGCCGTCAAGAACGAGACTGCTGAACAGCTCGAGGCCTTCCGAAAACAACGTGCCCTGGCTGAACAAGCTCTTCTGAACCAGCAGGCAAACGACGAAGTGGGAAAGCTTGACGCTCCGGTGGGTAGGGCTGCGTGGGTGACTCAAAAGAAAAAGCGCCGCCGCGACAAGGAGAGCGAATCTGGACAGGATCCTAAGTCTAGGAAACTGTCGTCCCCCACGGACGATCAAGGCCCTGCATCGGTGCAACCGAATTCACTCACTTCCGATCGTACAAATGCAACAGATGCAAGGCCCGAAGATAAAAAGTCGCCCACACAGTCTCAGACGGATCCTCCCAAGGTGACCCCAGTCGGACTAGATTTGGGCGACTACAGCTCTGATGACGATTAATACATGGCTTTGCGGCACGAGGCTCGCTCATATGGGCAGGTGTTCTGTAGTGGCGCCTTGCACGCTGATAGGTGGTGAGCAAGGATAAACAGCCTCGACAATCCATGAAACCACACACTAAGGTTTCAAGGGAGCCAGTCGACCACCAGACAGTCGGAACTCTTCCCTTTCTTGACAGTCAGCATTGGAATGAATCGGCTGTGGTTGGTCGAGTGCTCAGACCAATTGTGAAGGCCCATCACCCATCACCCATCACCCATCACCCATCGTCTGGCGTGGTCAGGCTTTTGAATCTGAGACGGAGGGGAACCCCCTATAATAGCCAGTGCAAGGGTCTTGAGCGACTGTGGCAGCCACCCGGAGCAGTGCGTCCTTCTGTCGTCGAGCTTGGTCAAGTTGAACAGCCACAACGGCTTCTTACCTTGTGGACCAGCACGACTGCAATGCGGGAGCTCTCGGACACATCTCGTCGGAACACGCTTAGTCGTGGCGGGCACGGGCGGGTTCATCCTCGGGCCTAAGAGCCCCGTCCACGCCTCGACCACAGCGTTTGGGGATGACTTCTGGGGGCTTAGGGGCCTCCTAAGCCTGTCCACCCGAGGCGAGCCAATTGATTCCCCAGACGCAGGGGTTTGGTGGCACCTCAAGCTCTTTTGATAGGCTTGGGAACTTCAATACCCTCACCAAACATATTGCTGGTGTTGTTGTCCTGTCCTAATGACACACTGGCACCACGCCGTCAACACTCCAACCGCTTGGGATCTGCCATACGCCTCGCTCCTATTTGACCAGCAACGAAGCTCTGGTAACCTCTCAATGTGGCGGTGAAGAGGACACCGGCGTATCAACACAGACAGCCCAGTGTGTCCTGCATACCTCCTAAGCCCACGCTCTTTGCCCAACGCGTTATTCGCCAACTGCCCGCTGTAAACCAACACCGCCAGATTCGAGGATGCAATGAACCGAAGATCGTTGGGCGTGGAAGAAATTTTCACAGTGCCCGCAGCGCTGCGTGTTGATGGCCCACGGCAGATATTAGATATAGTGTCATGATCGTGCTCGTTTTCTTCTTGCCCCCCGTTTCTGAATGCGGCTGTGTATCGATAGAGGACGCGATAGGAGATACGGATACTCGTACTGGACTCGGTAGGCACGAGCTGGAGGCTTGACTGGCTGTTGTGGGATCGGCAGCGTTCTGCAAGGGGGAGGGCTGCGAACGCCACCCACTCCATTGGCCTGGTTGCACACTCCCCTGCGCCAAACACCCAATCGCCATCGCAGCACCTGGCCGTTTGCCTGCCTGTCTTTGCTTGTGACCTCCTGACGCTGCACTGTCCAGCCCAGTTCTCCTGTCAGCCTTCAGCTTCAGCTTCATATCCTGCGTACTATCGCTCAAGAAGAGGCTCTGTAGAACGCAGCCTCGCCTTCCCTTGTCCTCTCCTCACGCATCTTCCGCGTCTCGGCCGTCGCGACAAATGCTCTCCCCGTCCTATCTGCACAAATCCTCTGCTCAACAACAGCATGGCGGCTCTCGCAGCCGCGTCCCCCGTCGGCGAGGTCGCAAAGAGCGCGTCGCATCGACCAAGGACCCCGAAATGGTGGAAGACTGGAACGGATGAAACTGAGTTCGAGATCTTGCGTTTCTGCAAGGCATGGGAGGCCGGACGGTCTCCAACTGCCGATTGGCGCTACTTCAGCATGCACACCGCCATGCTCGAGAAGAACACGCCAGGACAACGGGTATGCAGGGCATTTCTTTCCATTCTAACGCCAATCGTCGACCCCCAGTCTCTCCTGTCCACCTCTCTGCCTCTTGTTCACGCCTTGCTCCGATGTTGCTCTTCCACTCCCTCCCTTCGCACACCCCTGACACGAGCCACAGTCTGTTCCCCCAAATTACGATGTCTACCTAAGAGCATTTGCGCTGGTCGCAGCTCTGTTTCAGCAGTTGAGCGACAGCCCTCCGCCTTATGGAGGGGAGCCACCGCCCTATAATACCGACGACCAACTCCCACCGTACGCGCTGTCCGACCCTCTCGCGCACGTCCAGATCCTCGGCCGTCCAGATTTACCGAGAACCGCTCTCCCCTCGAGCAAACCCAAGTCGTCAAATTCGGGGATGGATCTTAGTATAGACTTTGGCGACACTACCGGGGTCCAGACAAGAGGAAAGAAGAACAAGAAAGCTGCCCAGAAGGCTCAGCAGGCTAAATGGTTCGAATCGGACAACGAAGGTGAGGGCAATGCTGCCGGCGATGGTGGAGATGGTACCGGTGGAGGCGGCGACAATGGTGGGAGTGCCGGAGGAGGTTCTGGAGGTGGTGGGGACGATAACAATGGGGGTGGAGGAGACGAGGACGACTGGGACTTTGGTGGTAGCAAGAAGAGCAAGAAGAAGAACAAGAAGAAACAAGAGGAAGAAGAGGAGGCGAAGAGAAAGCAAGCAGAGGAGGAAGAGAAGAAGAAGAAAGAAGAGGAGGAGGCTGCCAATGCTGCTAATCCTCTCAGTTGGGCCGACGAAACTAATGACGCGGTGGCAGACGATGACTGGACAACAGGTTTCACGACGAAGAAGGACAAAAAGAAGAAGAATAAAAAGGTGAGGTCTACGGACCCTGCGTGTTGAAGGCTACTGACCATGTAGGCCGCCAACGATGCTGCTGATGATCCGCCGCCAACGTCAGCCTTCCAAGATATTAGCCTTGATGATGCCGCACCAAGGCTGGAGTTCAGCCTCGGCGGTTCTGACAGTAAGAAAGATTCCAGTGGTTTCGGCGCATGGGGGAAAACGTGGGATTTTGGTTCTCTCGACAACGACACGACGAAAGCCGAAGATGTGACCACCAAAAAGGCAAGTGAGAAGAAAGAGGACTCTAAGGAGCTTGGGGACAACAATCCCTGGTCGTTTGGTAACAAATCCAAGAAGAAAACGATGACTTATAGCAGCGGCTTTGATCTCGGCGACTTGAATTCGGGCGACAACGCGTTCAGTTTTGACGGGGACAGTGGCGCTGTGAAAGACGCAGATGATGCCTGGGGGTTTTCGACCGTAAACAAGAAAGATAAGAAGAAGAAAGGTATGGACGACAAAAAGGAGGAGGCGCCCGTCCCAGCCGACCCCGAGCCCACAGGGGAGGACACCTGGGGTGGCTGGGCTACGACCACTTCAAAGAAGACCAAGAAAAAGAAAGGTTTCTCCGAAGAAGATCCAAGCCCTCCTCCCCCGCCTGCCGCCCCGGCTGAGCCAGAACAAGCAGCTGCAGAGGACACATGGGCCTTCACTACCAGCAAAAAGGATAAAAAGAAGGGGAAGAAGGGGGTCGTTGAGGAACCGGCTCCTGAGACCAAAGATCCCCTGCTTGATACTGCAGACGCCGATGCCGCTTTTGACTTCGCATTTGGAACGGGGAAGAAGGACAAAAAGGGCAAGGGCGGCTTCAGCAGCTTGGATGATGACCTTCTAGACCTTCCTGAGCTTTCCGCTGAACCAGAAAAGGCAGCAGACGAGGGAGACGACTGGATGTCTGCAGCTTGGGGCACCAAGAAGAAAGACAAGAAGGGAAAGAAGGGTGGGATCGAAGATATCTCAAACTCTTTCGACGTCGGTTCTCCCGCAGAAACCAAAACGACCACGACCGATCCTGTGGTTGAAGACACCTGGGCCACGTTTGGCACAACCAAAAGCAAGAAGGATAAGAAGGGCAAGAAGGGCGCCCTGGTCGAAGAAGAGCCGCCTGCCCCTCCGCCTGCCCCCGAGGCTCCAGCCGAAGCCGACGATCTCTGGAGTACTTTTGGGAAGAAGGAGAAGAAAGGAAAGAAGGGAAAGGTCGCGATTAGTGAACCCTCAGTTCCAGAGCCAGCATTTGAGGATGAACCTGAGCCTGAGCTTCAGCCTGAGCCTGATCCAGAGCCTGATCCAGAGCCTGCCAAAGAGGAGCCCAAGTACGCTGATATCAGTGGCTGGGCCAAGCTATCAGCGAAGGACCGGAGAAAGAAAGAGAAGGAGGCCAGGAAGAAGGGTCTGCTCATCCCATCTGAAGAGCCTACTCCGCCACCTCCGGAACCAGAGCCTGCAGTTGTGGAGGAAGAAGATACCTGGACGGCTTGGGGCACAGCCTCCAAAGACAAGAAAGGCAAGAAGAAAGGAGCCGATGAGCTCGCTGAAGAGGCTGTAATACCCCCCGAGCCTGAAATGAAGGAAGACGATACCTGGGGCTTTGGCTTATCCGCGAAAGAAAGGAAGAAGAAAGAGAAGGAGGCCAAAAAGAAAGGGCTTCTCGAGCCTGTTGAGGAGCCTCCGCCCGATCCAGAGCCCGAGTCTCAGGCAAAGGAAGATGACACCTGGGGTATGTTCGGCATGTCGGCAAAGGACAAGAAAAAAAAGGAGAAAGAGGCCAAAAAGAAGGGTTTCCTAGACATCGACGAGGAGCCTCCACCGCCGCCGCCTCCAGAGCCGGAGCCTGAAACCGATACCTGGGGAGGTTGGGGTGCCGTTTCTTCGAAAGACAAGAAGAAGAAAGGGAAAGAATCCAAGAAGGGATTCACTGATTTTGACGAAGAACCCGCGCCTCCGCCTCCAGAGCCCGAGCCTGAGCCAGCTGCCGCCGCTAAGGAAGAAGACACTTGGGGTACGATTGGACTCTCGTCCAAGGAGAGAAAGAAGCGGGAGAAGGAGGCGAAGAAAAAGGCGGCTGCAGCACCATCCCCTGATCCTGAACCCGAACCTGAAGTCGTCGAACCCAAGTCAGAACCAGCGGAAGACAAAGAAGACGAGCATTGGGGATCTTGGGGTACTACGACCAAGGACAAGAAAAAGGCCGCCAAGGAGAGCAAGAAGAAGGGCATTGCTGAGGCTGATGAACCCAAACCTGCTGAAAAGAACGAAACGCCTGTTGAGGATGATCTCTGGGCCTCTTGGGGCGTGAAGGGGAACGAGAAAAAGGGCGGGAAAAAGGCCAAAACGAAGGAAGAACCTCCGCCACCAGCTCCCAGCCCTCCCGCGCAAGGGTTGACGCCCGAGCCTGATGCAACAGAGCTGCTGGATGATGATGTCGGAGGTGACACTTGGGCGACCTTGACAAAAACCAAGAGTAAGGCATCATCGAAACTGAGCGCTGCTTCTAAACTTGCCGCAGCCGCTGAGAAGACTTCCGAGGAAGCTCCAGCGAAAAGCACAAAGGGCAGCATATGGGGATTCGGAACGACGACGACGACGACGACCAAACTGAGCAAAAAGGAGAGGGAGGCAAAGACCAAGAAAGAAGAGGAAGAAAGGCTGGCTCGCGAGGCTGCAGAGGCTGCAGAGGCTGAAGCTGAAGCAGAAGCTGAAGCCGCACGGATTGCTGAGGAAGAGGCTGCAAAAGCTTCGAAGACCAAAGTGAAGAAGACGAGCACCAACAAGGAGGAGAAGGTCGACGGCAAGAAGACCACGGACGACTATTTCGGCTTCTGGGGTAGCACGTCAGCGTCGAAGAAGACAGCTGGCAAAAAGGAGATAGACTCGAAAAAGGAAATTACCAAACAGGGGGCGGCCAATGAGGAGGACCCACTAGCCAGCCATGCGCAGGACCTCGACCTCGGACTAGATCTTGACGAGCCACCAGCTTCTGTGAAGAGCTCCAAGGCAATGACCACGACTACCGCGAAGGGCAAGCTGAGCTCCTCTGTGGCAGATCGCATCAAGGCGTTGGAAGGCGGCAGCAAAGAAGACAGCGGAAAGAAGTCGAAGGGCACCACTGCGCTGACTAAGAAGTCTCCTCCAGCAGAAGAGACGCCACCGCCCAAAGAGGAAAAGACGACCAAGGACAAGGCTTCGGCCATCAAGACAAAGACGACCGCCACGACTGATTCGAAGCTCGGCAAGAAGAAGACCGCCGCGCCGGCCGTCACCGAGGAGAAGAAGTCGAAAGACTCGGTTCCTGGGAGCTTCCCCGGCGCATTCGGCGACGATGATGCCCACGACGATCTCGATTTAGACGACCTGGCGGCAGCATCTTCGCCCGACAAGCAGAAGCCTCAGTCCAAGGCCAAGGTTGCTGAGAAGAAAGGCACCAAAGCCAAGAGCAGCACCCCAAAGGACTCGACCACGAAGAACTTGGACCTACTGGACGAAGTCCCTCAGCCCTCCGAGCTTCCAACACCGCCGCCAGAAGAGAAGAAGTCCGTCAAGAAAGAGCGGCCGCGAGTGGAGCGATCTGCCACAGCCTCTTGGGGATTTTGGGGGGCCGCACCTCCTCCCAAGAAGTCGGCCAAAGACAAGCCCAAGGAGGCCGACAAGTCGCCACCGGCCAAAAAGGAAAAGTCGCCGCCTGAGCTGGCCCGGGCGAAATCAAGCCGCACACCCAAAGAAAAGGAACGAGAGGATAAGAAGGAGGCGGAAAAGTCATCCAAGTCCTCTGGTTCTGACCCAGAGACCAAGAAAAAGACGGCGGCTGAGAGGCCCAAGACCACCCGAGGCCCCTCGTTCTCCAGTTTCATGTTCGGCGGGCCACCACCGTCGGCAATGCGGCCAAAAACCACTCGAAGGCCAAGCAGTGCAGCCAGCTCACGGCCCTCGTCCAGGCGGCAGTCAGTGGACGGCCTTGCTTCGCCTCCCCCGGAGGACGAACCTCCACTCACCGAGAAGGCCGCCAAACTGATGGGTGTGAAGCCGAGCAAGGTCGCACGTCGTCCATCGGTGAAAGGCAAGTCAGGTAAGTGCCATAGCTTCAAGAGTCGCAGGACATGACTGACGCTCGATGAGTAGGTGTTCCCGATCCATACCCCATTGACGATGATGATATGGTGATGATCCACACCCACGACAATCCACCTGCCGTCAATGGCGCTTCAGCGACCAAGAATTCAAAATCCAAGGCTTCGAAATCAAAGAAAGTGGTAGGTGCAAATCATCTTGTCCCACTTCGGTTTTGAACGTACAGGCTGACGGACTTTGTAGAACAAAAAAGATGCTTCTTACGACGACGATGTGGTTATGGTCGACAACCTCGTCAACGGTGATCCATTGGTTACCAGTGGGCCGGACGACCTCGCTTTTGTGGACCATCCTCCGTTGAAGAGAAGCAATACCACGTCCAAGAGATCCAGTGGGCTTTTTGGCGGGCTTTTCGGTGGCGGTTCGAAGCGCGTTGAGGTGGAAAAGCCGAGAATAAGAAGCAATACCGTGACAGATGCTGAGGACCAAGATCTGCCGATTCGGACCAGGGACCGAGCAAAGAGACGATCCCGTGCCGTAGAGGGAGAAGGGTTCACTACTGACGCGCCAGCCGATACCGATGCCGACGTTGAAGCTCGTCGTGCCGAGCGGAGAGCGAGACGCGACGCCCGCGACCGGATGGAAGAAGCCGAGCGGATGGAGCGCGAGCAAAGACGCAAGGAGAGGCGAGAGCGGGAAAAGGCCGATCTTGAAGCCCGCCAACGGAAGGCTCGTGAACGCGCCAGGCAAGAACAGGAGGAGGAAGAAAGGCGCCGCGAAGAGAAACGAGCGAGGCGGGCTGCGAACGAGGCTCGGCTTCGTCAGGAGGAAGTCGAGGCGAATGCAGAAGCCGAGCGACGACGAGAAGAACGACGCCGCCTCCGAGCTCAATTGGAGGCCGAGCAAGGGGACGCTCTGGAGGCGTCCAAGGAAGAACGTCGAAGGTCATACTATGCGGAAGAAGAGGAACGACGACGTCGCCGAGAAGAGCGCAAGGCCCGAGACAAGGACCGGGACAGGTCGGGTCGCAAAAAGTCTAGCGCCCTGGTCGAGGAATACCATGAGAGCCGAAGCGGGAGTGGTAAGGGGACGGCACCGCCTCCGGACAAGACTAGCTCATGGGTGAACTCGCAAGCTGACGAGCCGCCCGAGGTGCCACCTGTGGAAGGGACCATCCTGGATCCCGGTGGGGAGAAACCGCGCGTGGCAGAGGAGGACACTGGCCACAAACGCAGTGGCCGACACCACGACAAGTACGCCGGCATGACCGACGCGGAGATTGCAGACTACCGTGCTCGACGAAAGGGATCTCGTCGCGGCGAAGGCAAAAGTGCCAGCGGCGGCAGCGACGAGCGAGAGAAAGGAAGGGAACGGAAGGAACGAAGAAGGACGTCTCGACGCGAGCGCGACCCGGCTGACGAACGTGGCTATGGCGGACACGGCTACGATGAGGTCCCGGTGAAAACCTGGGACGGTCGGCCCGCTCTTGGCCGCAACGACAGCAAACGCAAGAGCTTCCTCGGAGGACTTTTCTGAAAGCGCATATCTCAACATGACCCAAAGCCACCACCGAAGAATACCGGCACAGAGGACCGGAGATTGATGCCTGCGGGACAGGCATTCTGGATCCGCCAGAGCCTCCGACACGATTGGACAAGATGTGATTTTGGTTGACCGGCGTTCCTAGCGCATCGGCAGGGCGTCCATTTGCTTTGGCTTTGGCATGCATCAGGAGCGAGCTGAAGAGGGCACGCATTCTCCCATTGAGCCTATTCTCTGTACGAATACAGTCGGCAGTCTGGGGAGGGACTGAGCTGAGCCCAGCTTCGCTCGGCTTTGCTCCGTTGATGTTCATGTTATTTCTGCATTAGTTTTGAGCGCGCATTGTGTCGGTCGTTGTTAGCGATGTGTTGATTTGGATCTCCTTAGCTGATGCAGCCATTGTTATAGATACCCCTTCAGTTCTTTCGATAGTATATATTTACCCTCATGCTCATGCTCATGCTCATGCTCATATGTGCTCTCTTTTTTCTTTTGGTCTCACCGAGGCTCTCTAGGCGTAGTGTACTCCGTTAGTAATATGTCCAACTTCTTTCTTCTAACTTCTGACTGGAACCTCAACGGCAAGGCTGGGAACCGCCAAGACAAGGCTGAGTCTTGGCACCTCGTGACTCTGTCAGCCTCGTCTCCCACTGCAGAGGATGCTGATGCTCATACAATTACAGGTTCCAGGGAATATCTCCCGGCACACTTCTCGCCTCTGCGGTGCCAGTCGCCCTCCTGTCCGCGCCGGATGAGAAGATGCAAACCCTGTTCCCCTTTGCCGCCGCATCACCCGCCCCAACTCCCAAACTGCACGTCACATCCGGCCTGCTGCCGCCATACGTCTCGGCGTCCCAAGCCCCGACCAGAAAGTCGCCGTGGAGAACGGTTCGAGATGTCGGCTTCATTCGCTCAGCCACGGTCGCGCTGCCGGATGAACTGTGTCATATCATCTGGCAATCGGTCGAGGCTGCGGTCAGGAAAGTGAGATATGTCAAGGTGATCATGAAGCTGGAGGATGTGCTGGACGGCGAGTTTTTCACCGAGTACATCAAGCGAGGTGAGTTTGGGCGTTGTAGTTGGTCTGGTCTGACCTGGCTTGACGTGACATAACAATTCTGCCTGTCTCTGCCCAAGTCTCCAGGTTCGGTCTGACACTATCTCGGTCGTCGTAGGTAACGTTCTCATGCTCTCCGAAGGAGAACCCGGTGTGGACAACGTCTTCTCACTCAAGGATGGTAAGTCGAGCGCAGAGCCAGAACTGCCCACCACACCCATACAGCCTGTCTATCTTCTCTCATACCCCCACCCCGCGTCCGTCCAGCTCTCTCGTAGATAGTACGGTATGCTAACTGGCCTTCTCCAGGCATATTGCGGCTGAACCTCGCCAAGGAGGTCTACGAACGCACCGGTCTGCCGGGGACGCCTGTCCGGTCCGGAGGACGCAAACACGTCAAGTCAAGCTACGGTAAGTTCCAGCTGTCGGCAGTGACATGTCTATGTTTCATGATCAAGGCTGAAACTAACCCTAACTACCCACAGTGGTCGAGTACAATCTCCGTCTCCCCTCGATGCTACATGGCAAAAAGGGCTTTGAGCGACTCGTGTGGGCGGCCAAAAACGTCCTGAACAGTAGTTTGCAGTGGCTCTTCCTCGACCTCAACGACGACCACGCTGCAGATGTCAAAGGTAGGTACGCTCCTGAACTTGATCGACTTGGTTCTCGTGCTCGTGTGCTGTGCTGTTGGGTGGAAGCAGGGACGGACGCCCCGGCGCAGCTTTCAGTTCCGGGTCTGACGTTGTCTTTGGTTTGAACAGGCCCGATCATAACACACCACCCTACAATCATGCATGATGTAGCCCCGACGGTGAAGAAAATACCGAACGCCCTCATCCCGTCGACCCTAACCACGACCACGAATATCATGACACCCTCGACCCTGACAGAAAGGACACGTTCTCATCCCCCTCCCCCAACTGCCACATCGTCCAGTGTCCCTCCTGAAGAGCTGCAAGAGACAATGCTGGATCTTTTCGAATACGTCGACATGCTCTCGTTAGCGTCTCCACGAGTTCAGGCGACCGACCACGTCGATCCGTTCATCAGTCGATACCAGGTCCCTGATGTCTCTGGCCGTGGCTATACGTCAAACGAGACAAGGGCCCAGCAGCCCGTCACGGTCATGACGTGGACAGGGCTGATCTCGGCACAATGGGTGCTGGACCTTCTCTGTGCCATCATGTATGTAATTATGTGATGTTCGGTTGCCATTGACGTCTTTTTTCATTCCTTCAGCACATCCCCTCCTCTCCGTCTTCCTTTCCTTCCTTCAGCCCTCCTCTCCTTTCCTTTCCTTTCCTTCCTTCAGCGCATCCCCTCTTTCCTTCCTTCACCCCTCCCCTCCCAGAAAGCAATGAATGGATTTGGGCTAATACCAGCACGGCCCGGTATAGAAAACAGTCCCGCACGGCCCGACTACCAGCGCCGGAACAAGCGCCATGGCTTGCCCTTACAGTCTCGGCACACAGGACCCAAGCGGTGGGCCAGGTTGACGGATACACCGTCATTCTCCAGCCAGATGGTGACGATGGAGAACGGGGTGACGGTCCTAACTCTGACCATAACCATCGTGTCGACGAGAACCAAAACGACGAGCCACAAACCCGCTCCGTCTTGGACCAGCACAATCGACCGACCAAACGGCCACGTCTGGTGGCTGCGACTACTGGTGACGAAGATGACGACAGCGCCACCGGCCCGAAGCGTGCGAACGCCTCTAGCGAATACTCTGATCTTGACCCCCTGAAATCGGACTCGGGGGCAACAGGAGGAGGAACTACCACGGCCACGACCACGACCGCAACTGCGACCACAACCACTGCCGCGACCACTACTACTACCACTGCCACAGGGACAAACGCCGCTGCTCGTGCCGGATTCCACCACTACATTTGCGCCGAGTATGTCGACAGCCTCGTCCAAGTCCTCCGTGGAGGTGGAGCCTGACTCCAAGGTTGAAGTCTGAGGACTGAGGTCTGAGGTCTGTAGGCTACGGACTACACCTACACCTACGCCTACGAAAGGTACCAATGGTTACAGCTTACAGCTTACAGCCACGGAAGGTAGTGTAACCATAATGAATGAGAATGACCTTGGCCGTGAACCCAAGCTTGACCTTGTGGTATACACTGTAGTATAGTATACAGTATCAGTCCAGCCCTACTGCACTTGCACTTGTATGAAGGATGAAGGCACTGGCACTGGCACCGTATCGAGTATACAAGTACTGTATATGCCAGCCATCACAGCTGTTCGAGACTCCAGTCAAGATGGCGTGGCTCAAGGCATCGACAGTAACAACGGTGTAACTTGTCAATGCCGATTCATAAGAATTCTTCAGTCAAAGCTTTGTTCCACTCAATAACCAGTATTACCACTATGTTGTTCAAGCGACCAAGGGTATACCGTGTGCAAAATCAAAGATCAGCCAAGCCAATTCCCACTGCAGTGTGCTGTCAACCGCCCACTGCCCACCGCGTTGCACACTACAATTCACCCATGTATCTTCGTATATTCATCACGACAGCTGCTGCAGTACTCGTCATACCACGTCCTCAAATCCGGAGCCGTATCCGTCGAGTTAGACTCAAACGTCTGTCCTGAACCCGAGCCTGAGCTTGAGCTTGGTCCCGAACCATCCAGCACCAGCCCCTCGACAACATGACACCTGCGATCCTCGTCCTTTACCCACTGCTCCCATGCCGCTTGCATCAATTCCTTTTCGATGACATTGACCACGCGCACCGCCACAACCAAATCGTGCCTGTACATCCCTAGCCGTTGACGGCTGCGTTGGACCTGGGTTGGACCCAGAATCTTGCCAGGGCCAGCCTTCGCCGTCACATCGATGTTGTCGGGATCATGCTCGTCGTAGAAGACGCTGTAACATGGGCTCGAATCGCGAAGAGGCAGGTGGGCATCGCGGTGCAGAATCTGATCTAGGTCACTCGTATAGACTGCTTTGCCCATGACGGCATTTGGCGACACCCCTAGACGTGTCATGAACGTTGCGGCCCGGCGCTCATGCCACCAGTCAAGAGAGTCGCGGTATGTGTGCCAGCTGTTGTATACCATGCTGAGCATCAGTGCAGCTAGGATGACCTTGTTGGCGGAAAACGATCGAGCCGTCCAACTGAGTAGCCCCAGAAGGCTCTCTAAGATGGTGGAAACGGCACTTTCGGCCGCAGACAGGACAGTTTGTGCCAACAAACTCGCCATCGTCCTCGAAACCGGCCGTCGCAATTCAAGATTAATAGCCGTGGCATCCAGAAGCAGTTGAGTGATCTCGGTCGCGTGACCAACTTGACCGAAGATCTGGACCGCCTTCTTCGTGCGACTGTGTGCCCCAAGCTTCCTAACTTGGTCGGCCACCAGATCTGCCAGGTCCTCGGAGTCGAGCTCCAGGTCATGCAATGCCTGCCGCTCGATCACTGCACCAAGCATCCACGGGGGGCTTGACCATTCCACCTTGATGAACACGGCGAGCTTGCATTTGGCTTTGGCCACATGTGTGATAACGATCTTGCTCACCAGTCGTTGTCGGTCTCGGAAAGGGAGGTGCCACGGGGTCCGTTTGTCCGTGACCACGTAGCATAAATGCTCGTTGGTCACGTCCACAACTTGATAATCTCGAACCTGGGTGTATGTCTCTTGACCAAGCATGGTCGGAACAGGAATGTCAAAGACCAATTCTCGTCGCAACCGGCCTTCTGCCAAGCTCAGCCACGGTCCTTGACCGAGGTTTTTGGCTCGACGTTCATGTTGGAGCAACTGCCAGAGCGCACTCTTGTCTCCAAACATGACATGAAACAACGCCTTGGCACTGATGTCGAATTCTCTTTCGACCGCGAGGTGGAGGTTGCCAGGGGGGACATACTTCACCGGATGCGCCGGCAGTCTGAACTTGGACTCTCTTCGACTCAATGGCGTCGGATGGAGCGCTCGATCAACTCGCAAAGGGCCCTTCAATTCGGTCCCGACCGTCGACGCTCTCCCACGATATTTGGGACCGCCCGTATCCACCGGCGTATTTGGCGAGACATCCTCCCAGCTCTCGAGGCTTGGACTTCGGTCTCCAGAATCGGTCTCCATCTTGAGCAGTGTTTTGATGACCTCTTCTAATCCCGCAGGTTCGTCAGAGTCGCTGTTTCGGATCAAAAAGTTCAAGCGCCGCTGTAAAAGTCGAAGTGGATCCAGAAAGGTTTTGATTGTGATTCTCCGGGCAGCTCCATCGCTTCCAAGGTCTTTAAGATGCAGAAAGATAAAGTCGCAATCCCGACCAGGTGCTGCGGTGGCCTCGTCTATCGAGGCAAGAGGGACGCTTGTTGTGAGCACCAGTCCCAGATGATTGCTGTAGAAATATATGTCTCTCGAAGTCACATAGACGCGGCCGGGAAACTCCTGCTGGTCGCTTGGATTCCAGGTTCCTCGGAAGACCATGACAAGGCGCTCATCGTGCCGAACATTGGGAAACAAAAGTCTGAACTGTGCATCCTGGGATTTCAGCTGAAGAGGATAGTAGTTGGGAAACTCGGGCACGAGCAGCTCACTTCTGAACTGCTTGAATGTATCGCGATCGACACTGATTGTGTTCCTGTGGCCGCTCTTGGTCGGCGACGGGGTGCGGCTCCGTGCACCAGATGGGGCAACGCCCAAGTCAAGGTGAGAGATCGAATAATGGGGAGTGGTACCGGAGCGTGATGGTGAGGTAGACGGTTTCGGCGGCGAAGAAGAAGGCTTCACTATAGGACTTGGCTGCGCACCCAGCTTTGCCCCGGGTGTGATTCTTGGTTCGACACGTTCCGACCGGTTGACCGCAGTAGTGTTAGAAGTGCCCCAGATATTCGCCAGGAAGCTCGTTGGAATTCCGGTCTTGTCGGGCGCAGGGCTTAGTCCCCGTTCCCCGGTCAGGATGACTGCTGACTTGCTCAGATTGGTTGGGGACGGCACCGAAGCCAGGGTAGAGGGAGAAAGAGTGCTAGGAGGCATATCACGGAGCGCGAGCGTAAATGTGCTGCGTGACTTTGCGGCATCGCCCTCAATGTTTTGCACCATTGGTAAGCCTGGGCCGACAGGCAGCGATCCATGACTGGCTGCGATCAGGCTTGCAATGCCACCGCTACCGGGAAGAGTAGGTGTCGATGGGCTGGGAGAAAATTGCGGCGAGGCGGCACTTTTGCGGTGCAAGTCCAGTCGGGAGATGATGCGAGATGCAGCCTCGCGGTGGCCGCCCTCATCCAAAGTAGTTGACTTCCTAGGCAAATCGATGCTGCTCTCCCGAAGATGCTCTGCGCCTGGAACGGACAGAGCGTTGGACTTTTCAAGAGCACCAATCTCGTCGCCGGGGGCACCAGGTTCTGTTGAAGCTAGTACCAAGGCCCCAAACTCGGGTACCGGGGGTGTTGATATGGTAAAGGCCGCGCCGCTTTGAATGTTTCCAGTTCCGGCGATGTTTCTTGAGGCATCTGCATCATCCAGAGCTTTCGATTTCGCGGTCTCAAAGGCACCAATCCAGTCAACGAGTTCCGATTGGGTTTCAGCCTGTAGAAGGATGGTGTTCTTATTGGTCTTGAGTTCGAAGCAAAACCGACGTTCTTCTGCTGGTGCAGGACGGACATTGCAGAGTAGAACGCCGATCCGCTCGCTCTCTTCGACTCCTGCTCTGGTACCCTGTAGTAGCCAGCCGAAGACGCCATGGCGGATGAATGCCCATCTCTTCACCCAAACCGTTCTTGTTGGTTTGCCACTGTATGTGCGTAAGAACAGCCAACCTTGTTTCTCCCCAGTCTGCGGAGTGGCCTTCTTGGGTGACTGCTGCGGCTGCAAGGTAGATACACTTGCAGTGTGAGCATGACTTGGAAATTGAGGGACCGTAGACATGCTGTAGTCTTCGAGTTCTCGCGATGGTCGAGTAGTCAACTCCGCGGCCTCTTCCAGGTGCTTCTTTGCCGCTAAGAGCTCTTTTCGAAATACTCTCTCACTTGCCTCCATCTCATTCATCCACCCCTTTATTCTCTGCATTTCGTCCGAGTTTCGTTGAAACGTTGCGGATGTATTGTCCCGGGAGACTTTCAACTCACGCCATTGATCCAGGAATATTTTGACCAGTAGTCGGTCCAAAGCGAAGCGAAACTGTGGTGTCAAACTGAAAAAGTCCGTCATCGCCTTTATGTAGATCTTTCGGGCTTCATGTAGTTGGAAAGCGTCCTCCCTCAAAGACGACGCTTCCTTGCTTTTCCCAAGACCGGCATATTTGGATTGGAGATGGTCGAAGGTCTTTTGAGACGCTTCCACAGCCCGACGAGCCTCCTTGAAAGCCCGGAGATCATTGTGTAGGAAGTTTTTGATGGGTTCGACAACCATGACTGTCAACCTTTTCACCACTGCTATCATGCTCATCCAGTAATCTTTGACTCCGTCTCCATATCTCTTCATGGCCAGTGTCACGTAGTCGTGGTCCAACATGGATTCCGAAACGGTGGTGGGTAGGATCGAGTGAGAGATGAAGCTGTCCACGACATTCTCCAGGGTCACAGACTCGGCAACAAGTCGATTGGTAGCCTTCACGTAGTCCTCCAGCCACTTTTCGAGCAATTCAACTTGTTCTCCATAGTGCACGGCGGTCGCTCGAGCAGTGGGAGAATCGAGCGCCGCTTCCCTCAGGCCAACGGGTATGAGGTTGATCAGTCTGCCAACCTCATCAGCCGGCTGCAAGACCTGCGACATCGTGATGGGACATGCGGAGCCGATGAGAGAGAGGCGAACGCATGCAGGTTGGGTTCACGGTGCGTAATGCTGCAGTGTGAGATCGAGATCGAGATCGAGATAGAGATATAGGGCAGCGGCTCTTGTCAGAGGGACATCGTGACGGAGTAAGTAACACTAAGAGTCGATCAGCGAGAAAGTATTCCGTACAATGCTGAGGGCAGTGGTTAAGGTATGTTGTATGTTGTATGTATGGAACACTGCGTGTTCGAGGTCCAGCAGACGGAGACGGGCCTAGAGTCTACAGTAATAGTACGTCAATAATCGCCGTCCTCGCGTCCTCCACACCTGCCAACTGCCACCTGCCTGCGGCCTGTGGAGAAATCGAGTTGGAGTGACAGGCCCGCCACGGCCAAAATTTCTGGTCGTTTTTTTGGACTCGAGCAGAAACAATCCCAATCCCAGGGAGACACCATCTGCAACAGAGCCTCTTTATCCTGTCCACTCGCCTGCTGTGCATCATGGTTCGAGACCTGTTGAGCAGCGATGGCTCCGACAGCGAAGATGCTGGAGCGGGAGTCCTGACCAGCGATCTCAAAGTGAATGAGGATTTTGCCCGGCGATTCGAACACAACAAGAAGAGGGAGGAACTTCAGAGACGTATGGCCCTGCCCAATCTCCCACTCCTCCTATCATCCATACTGACATTGACATTGATTTAGTCGAGGAAAAACTGGGCAAGTCCACCCGGAAACGCAAGCGAGATGAGGGAGCGACCGACGACGAGTCCGATTCCGACGAGTCCACAAGCGAGTCCGAAGATGAGGGAGAATTGGTGACAGAGGCCTTGGATGCGGAAATCATGGCCACCATAAACGCCATCCGTTCCAAAGATCCGCGTGTCTATGATGCCTCCGTCACATTCTACACGGAAAAGGAGCATGACACCTCTGCAAAGCCAAAGAAAGAAAAGCCCATCCACCTTCAAGACTACCATCGGCAAAATTTGCTCGAGGGCACTGCAGCCGAGGAGCAGGATGATACAGTACCAATGAGCTATAATCAAGAACAAGAGCACCTGAAAAGGTCCATTGTCAGCGAAATCAATGCCGCCGCCGTGGAGTCGGAGAGTGAGGATGAAGATGAGAATGGTGACTTTCTTGTAGCCAAGTCAAAGGAGAAGCCAGCCAAGCAGCAGGCGACAATCGACGTCGAAATCGCCGACAAAGACCCGGAGACGTTCTTGTCAAATTTCATGGTTTCAAGGGCTTGGGCTGCACCGACTGATTCCAATCTGCATCCTTTCGAATCCGATGACGATGAGGAAGAAAGAAGAGCCGACGAGTTCGAAGAAGCCTACAATCTCAGATTCGAAGATCCCGAAAAGTCCAACGCAAAATTGCTGTCGCACGCCAGAGATCTGGCCGCCAAATACTCGGTGAGGAGGGAGGAGGCCAACCCGAGACAGAAGAAGCGAGAAGCGGAAAAGGCGAGGAAGGAGGCAGAGAAGCAGCAACGCAAGGAAGAAAAGGCTCGCCTACGAAAGTTGAAGATCGAGGAGCTAGAAGAAAAGGTGCGAAGGATCAAGAAGGCGGCTGGTCTCAAAACCAAGGACATCCAGCCAGAGGACTGGGCTCGCCTCGTCGAGGAGGACTGGGATGATGCCCAATGGGAAGCGGAAATGCAGAAGCGGTTCGGTGACGAATATTATGCGCAAGAGGAGTCTGGAAGTGACGAAAATGCGACCGAGACAGGGGGCAAAAGGAGAAAAGTCCGCAAGCCCAAGTTTGATGACGATATCGACATCAAGGACATTGTGCCCGACTTCGAGGATGATGTCAAGGCAGATCTCGACCTGTCCGGTGAGGAAGAGCCTACTCCGAAGAAGAGCAGCAAGAAGTTGAAGGAGGAGAAGAAGCGAGATGCAAAGAAGGAGCGAACCATCATCGAAAAACTAGTGGACAGCCAACTTCAACTTGAGCTCGAAAGCTCGGTACCGCAGAAAGTGGGCTTCAGATACCGCGAAACATCACCCAAGAGCTTTGGTTTGACGGCCAGAGATATTCTCTTGGCCGACGACAAGCAGTTGAACGAGTTTGCTGGGTTGAAAAAGCTTGCTTCGTTTCGAGATCCGGAAAAGAAGCGCAAGGATCTCAAGCATCTGGGGAAGAAAGCGAGATTGAGGAAATGGCGCCAGGAGACTTTCGGCAACGAGGAAGGCTTGCAGGACAGCGAGTTGGTCCCTGCACAGCCAGACGCGGAGCAGAAGGATGATGGCGAGGACGCCAATGTGGACATTCGAACCAAAGGGAAGAAGAAGCGCAGAAGAAAGAACAAGAAGGGACATGCAGAGGGCGGTCCTGAGGCTTGAATATAAGATTGTATAGCACATAGCGATGACTTCAAGTGCCCGGCGGTCGCCGCGCATCGCACAGTTTGACAAAGGTGCCAGAGCAGCAGCCCTTCGGTTCTATTCATTAGGTTCAGGCGTATGCGCCATGTCCAGTCTGTTCTATTACGCCTCAGCCATGCCATCCCGGACAGCTGTAAACATCGAACAACGTAAGAGGTATACAGTACACTCTGAACTGCTAGTCAGTGGTCTTTCCCATCTTCTTCGGCTCGGTGCGTGAAAAAAGGTTGTCCTCGAAAAGTTCTCTAGAAATAGCTAAAGCATTGACTTTTCATACTGGCCCGCCTCGCCTTACACCGAAATTGAATACCATGGTAGCAGTGACTGGCCCTGCAGAGATGCATAACACCACACTGCGAGGCCAGTTCAAGATCGTATCCGATCATCTATCGCCCCTCATGGGGGTCCCGAAGAAAGCTTGCTCCGACGTGCCGAAGACCGGCATCGCATCATCTCACATGTCAATCGTCTCATTGAAGCGCAAGATACCATTGGGCTTCATGATGCCATTGACGCCCTCGGGCATCAATGTCCAGCCAGTTGCAGGCTGTGGCGGTTGTCCAGCTCCGGCTCCCGACGCGTCTGAGACCAAGACGAGTCCGGCCTGGCGGATCGTGTCGATCAGCGCGGGCACCATCTGTAGAAGACGGGCCGAACAAGTCAAGCCCATGAAGTTGTTCACTTGGGCGAGGCGGGCCGACTCTTTGATCGAAGTGCCACGACCACAGTCCGTCCCATGCATGCCGCCCAGGTCATTACATAGCAGGACGGGGAAGTTGGGCTGCTTCCAATTCAGCGCGGTGCAAATGTTCGTGTTGTCTGAGCTGAAGACGATAGAGCGGGATAGGTCGGGCGATTGCGCGCGTAGAGCACGCGCGTGGTCGAACACTTCCGTCAGAATGGCGTCGGCAAAGGTGTTGATGTCGATGCTCGAATATACCCCCGGATTCAGATCCTCATTGTCGGTCGGGTAGAGGACGTGTAGATTGATGTTGATCTGGCCTGGAATAGCGGCTAGGATTTCTCGCAGGGCAAAGATTGAACCAGACAGTCGGTCGCGCCATTCCATGATGTCTATACTGTGTAGCGTTGTGGTGCCGTCGCTGTGGAGGAGGCTGCTGGACAGCCCGAGTTTCCTCAGCACATCAAATTGCATTTGACATATGGAGGTGTCCAGGTCGTTGTACCGGACGGAATAGGAAGGGTAGATGACTGGGATGCCGTCACGAGTCAGCTGTACAGTCAGCCGCAAGTAGTCCCCCGAGAGACTCGAGCCTGTCACCAGCCCGCCGCGGTCATCCAACGTACTGGTAGCCTTCCAGTACGTTGCAAACTGCGTGATTTCCAATGGAATGCCCATGTACGGCTTGATCACTTGGAAGCTGAACTGTATCTGACCGACGCAGCGCAGGCGAGGGTCGAACAGGGGAAGACAGCCAGTCCCTGCGCTGCTGTCGATCGCCCGGAATAGGTCCGGGAGGGCAACTGACTTGGCAATGACTTTGGAGCCGAACGTGGGAAAGATCTCAAAATCCACCGCGAAACTGCTCAGGGTGTCGACCTGGAAATAGGCCGATCGAGAGTCCTCCTGTATGGGCAACATCAAGTTGCGAGGGATGAGGTCTGAGGTTTTGGAAGAGATGGTCAAGCGCGCAGCGGGATATCGCGCCTCATTGAAGAACTGTATCGCCTGTGCTCCGCGGTCGAAATTGATCGCAATAAACGTTTTGGTATCGAGGAAATTGTGGCCGTATCGGCGCAGGGGAATAATCGGCGGCGGCAAGGAGAGATCTGGGATCCCGTCGGCTTCTGCAGCCACTGGCTCGTCAGGAGTGATCTCCATGGCATTCATCTGACCGTGTGGAGGGACCATGGCGCCGAGTCTGGAAGACGCTTGCCTCTCAGCCTGGCGATGGCTGCTGCCTTCCCATAATAGATCCACGCATTCCAAGTGTCCTTCCCAAGTGGCGTAGTACATCGCTGTCAGACCCTTCTCGTCAACGGCTTCAGGATCCGCTCCGTTCTCAAGGAGGACACGCAGGCAATCCACTCGACCTTCACTGGCAGCGTGAAGCAATGGTGTCCATTGATACAGCTTGTCCCGTTGATTGAGATCTGCACCATGCTGCCTCAGGAGGAGGAGGAGTTCTGCCTCTTGGCTAGATCGGGCCACTAGATGTTGCGGGAAAAGGCCTTCTGCATCGGGAAGCAATTTGGCATTTCTCTCTAGCAGCATCTTCGCGATTTCCACGCATCCATGTTGACAGGCTAGGTTTAGTGGGATATGGTCCGCATCTGAGTCCGGGTCAATCCTGGCATTATGCTCGAGCAGGAGTCGCACACAGTCGTCTCGGTGGCGGACTATACTGTGGATCAAAGGGGTAAAGTTATCGTGATCCTTCATGTCGACGGTGTTGAGGCCGTGGTTGAGCAATTTCTGCACCATTCCTAATCTTCCCCTGATACATGCATAATGTAGAGGTACTCTTCCGTAGACATCTAACCTTGTAGGGTCGACCCCGTGAGTTAGGCCATAATCTAGGGCAACATCTTTGCCGTAGATGGTGGCCTCATGTAGACAATTGCGCTCGTTGATGTCGTCTTCAGCTTGAATGTCAATTAGTCCAGAGTCCAGGAAGACACGCAATGACTCATCCGGTGCTTCACTGATGGTTGCGAGGAAGATGCGGGTGAAGCGTTCTCCTGCGTCGGGAGATGAACTCAACCTTGTGATCCATTCGCGCAGAGCCCCGACATTTCCAGCAGCAGATGCTTGGAGAATTTGAAGGTCAATGTCACTTTCTTCTGTACCAACACGCTGGCCGATCGTTCGGTCAGTAGATCTCGGAACTTCATATTGGATATTCTCGCCTTCCGCCCAGGCCTCGAGGTTGAGTCTAGCTGTTGTGGCTCGGTCTGAGAGATCTCGAAGCACATCGCGATTGAAACAGGGTTGGATTTCGACGGCACGCTGAAGATAGATTTCTTTCGTCCTCGACTGAGGCCGGGTTAGCGTGCGTCAAGGAGTAGGTATAGAAGTGTGCACCTTTGACGTTTTGTCCCACTACACTTGTCAGTCCTGCTCCGAAGTAGGTGAAATGGCAGACAGACCTTTTTCAAGATTTTGGAGATAGCCGTTTCATTCACTTCGACAAATTGCTAACAAGGTCAGTATTCGATTTCTTTTCGATTTCAGTCGTTGCGCACTTGAAGCTTGTTGAGATCATTGTCGAATTGCTGGAACCCCTCGACTAACGTTGCAAAACTGGCCGAGAGTTTGGGGTTGGCCGCTATCCTTGCTTGAATGACACGCTTTTTGTCAAGCAGCGTTTTGAGGCGAAGGGAAAACTAGCTGAGGGTCAGTGTGCAAGATGCAAACCATGGGCCAGCCAACCTACCTCGGCTTCTTTTTGAATATAGAAAACATTAACCTTTTCTATCTCACGTTCCTAGACAATGAATGTATGAGCATGAGCATGAGCATTGGGAATGAAGACAGGGGAGTCATCGCTTACCAGACGAAAGAAAAAGACTTCTTTATTTGCACGAAGAGCAGACTGCGGGTCTACAGCTGTTGTCGCACCCTGGGCGGCGATTGTAGGCGTGGCACTGAGCTGTTTGATGAGCTGGAAAGATGTGTCAGCAGACTGTCCGGTCGATCGCACCAGTCTTGTACTGCCTCACCTTTTTCAGAGCCTTGTAGTTGAGAAAACTAGCAGCATATTCAGGGAGGTCCAATTGCTGGCGCTGGATCTGCTTCCCAAACTTCCTGCTTTGAGTTAGAGGCAGACTTTATCCCAGGAGATAAGAACCATACATAGTGCGTGTATTGACCGCTCAAGGGGCCGACGTGACCCTAGGAGAGAGGAAACCGCCGATTCGACAAAGCGGTATTTATGGATGGCCTTAGCAGAGATAAAGGGCTGAGTCAGCGAGGGAAAGGACCAGCTTGAGATGGTCCGGGGCAAGATATCTGGTGCATCCGGTTATCGAGAAGTTAGAACGGTGGAAGACGGCGCGGTCAAGGCAACACAGTGGCGTAGTACTGCGGCGAGGAAGACGGTCTTAAACAAAACTCATTCCTGTGCATGAAATTTCTGATATCCGAAACACAGCGTACTGTGGCCTGGCCGAGTGAGAAAAGACCGAGGAAGCAGCCAGGGTGGTGATGGTGACTTTAGTTTGCTGAGTTGGGACAGAGTGGGCGTTACACCAATCAAACCCGTGGAAACCAGCACGCGGTCTGGTTTGCAGAACAGGGAGAGGATGGGGAGGATTGGAATTGGAGGTTCAGTTTGCACCGCAGGCGGCTGCGAGCCCAGCGGAATCGAGTGGATGAGTCTCAAACCCTTCCGCCGTGAGGTTGTAGTAGACAGTAGACAGGCCTGGATGTCAAGAATCAAATGTCGTCAGGAAGATGTCGATTGATTTAATATTCTCCGTACACCCATGCTCGACGGGCCCTTTTTCCGTATCCTCACGTCGTAGATCTGCAGCCAATCAGAGCCGTATCCGCGGAGTTTCTTGGCAAGCTCGGAACTCATGATATGATTGGCTTGTGCAGGTACAGTCATGTGACCAGCTCTTGCACCTGCACTGCATGCAGCCAGTCAGTAAATAGCAGTTGTATCCCGCGGGAGCCTTTCGAAGATCATGCCACATACCACATCCTATTTCCTTTCGCGTTCAAACCTACCCAGGTAGCACTTAAAGCTTCAACAAAGACTCATTGTCCAAGCCTGTGTCCTGCCTAGATGCACCCACATTCTCAAGCTCAGTGTGGACTGCAATTTGGATTTGGCAGGCACTCCTTCAGGCTGTCTCTATGACGTGCCATTGTATCCCTTGAGGCAAACGCACGGGCAGCAGTGTGTCCTCCCCAGGATCAAAATCGAGTCCTTCTCTCACTTTCACTTCTCCCACTTCTCCTTTTCCTTTCCTCCTCGGTGGTGACCGTGTCCGAAACCAGCTTGACTGTCTTCAGTGTAGAAAACTCAAGTCGCAAGCCCGTGAACAATGGCTCCCATCCCCGTCTACACTTCCTCGCCCATTAACACCAACCTCCCTTCCCACCCACACGCCGCTTCACCCAGTACCGCGGCAGCACGCTACGCGCCTGGGGACATTCAAGCGGCACCGACGACGACAACGATAACGTCTCCGCAAGGTGCTTCTCCTTCGACCCAGCAAGCCCAACCCGGCGCGCCCGCTGTCCCGCAGCCAACAAATACTGTCTCAAGCACTTACAATCGCAGACTCGGGCCAACACCAACCGCCCCTCTCCCTACAAGTGCCACACGTGTGACCGACAGTCCTCCACCGCCGCAGCCTGGAGCGGCCCCTTTTCCACCTGAAAGTCAATCTCCCAAGCTCTCGATCCCGGCCCAACCGCGTCCTGGCGAAATCCCGCAATGGACTCCTTCGAGTGCTTCGCCTATCCGCCACGCCGTACCGTCACCAACGCCTACTCACGCTCGCCCTGTGCCTCTACCTGCTCATCAGCAGTCGTCTTCTCTTTACACTCCCTCTCGGTCCATTCCCCCGGCGGGTGTGACCTCGACCTATCCACAAGACCTGTCTCATCCACCAGGGTATATGCAGGACTCACGGGCCTCGTTCGAAGATAAACCAATTGAGTTTTGCCAGCCGCTTGAGAACCGCGCCAGTCCTACATCTTCACATCGGGGTGGAATACTGGATGATGAGCCTATTCTGGACAGAGGGTTCGACAATGAGTCAGGTGTGCTGAACAGTGCCATAGCGTGGGCCAAATCTGCAGGCAAGAGGCTCTCGAGGACCGAAGAGCAGATATGGAGGCAATTTAACGGGGAAAGCGATACCTAGTTAGAGGGCTGGTTTTACCACATGTCACACCAGTGTCCGACATGAACGGTTGATAAGAAGGCATAAGAAACCGGATCCACTCTTAAAGAAAGAAACGTAGGTTCATCCGTTACCCTTTTTGAGATGTTGCGGTTGACGTAGTGACATGATTCAGTGATGGGTGGTGTTTCTGCCGCTGTCTCGGTGAGTCTGAACTGATTTATATCAGTTGGGAAATTCTGGACTAGTCGTTTCGGTCGAGTGAATGCCATACTTATTCTGAGTCGCTCTGGAGACCATGCAGACGTTGTAGTATGAGAATGAGAATATCAAACCCAAAACAGGCACATGGAAAGCACACGAGATCCTCTTTGCACGAGACGCAGACGAAACGCATACTAGGCAGTAAAGTACAATCGGGATTTGAGAGTAACAACGTAGACGTTCGAACAAGAAAAAGCATTGAACCCCGTGTGTCACAACCCATTCGAGTGTCAACGCAGAACCAAGCGGACGTTCGCAGCGGCCATCCCGCATGTCGATGTCCATAGGCTCTCTTCTCTTGTCGACTGCGTCGCACCGGCTGTGGTTGGATAGTGTCTATTTGCAGAAACAGTGTTTCTCTCACTCCCCGTTCACCATGCATGGAATCCCCCAGGAGGCATCAAGAAATTAGCCAGTAGCCCCCAGTACCTTCCCACCGAAGGCCCATCAACAACCCCTACCCCTTTCTGTCCGTGGCAGGCTAATATGCAGCAATTTTGTTGTGCAGTAGCCGTCCTCGAAGTCGTCGGATAATGTAGACGATGCGCTTAGCCGGATCCACCCTTGAAGGCCTTGCCGAACAAGAGAAGTTGAACCTCTGTAGTATAGTCAGTCGACCGTGCAGTTGACAACCAGAAACGAATACATACGGTCATAGATGGAGAGCACACCGGCACCGGCAACACCACGGAGGATGTTGGCACCAGCGCCCTTGAAGAATGATCGGATACCCTCAGCAGCAAAGATCTGTCGGGCAGCATCGAAGGAGCTCTTGTACTTGACAGCCTGCGATTTCGGTCAGATATGATTTGTTGGGTGGGGATATTTTTTGCAGATACATACCTCGCCAGATGTCATCATCATACGACGACGGATGGTATCAAGAGGGTAGGAAGCGATACCGGCACCAGTGGTGACACCCCAGCCGAGCAAGAAGGAAGCCAAGAAGTTGCCCTCAAGAGGACCGACCAGGAGAACAGGCTTGATGGAGTCGTACAGGCCGAAGTAGAGACCACGGTAAACCACTATACCGAGAACCGAAGGACCGAAACCACGGTACAGACCAGCAATACCATCAGAGGCCAAAGTCTTGCGGTAGACATCGACCAGACCGTTGAATTGACGCTCACCACCCTTACCAGCGGACTTGGCATCGTTGGCAAGACGAGTACTGTTGCAATGGCGTTAGTTCAGATCGGCGACAGAGAGCGGCAAATCTAGAAACATACCGAGCGTAGTCGAGAGAGTAGACGAAAAGAAGAGAAGTGGCACCAGCAAGACCACCGGAGGCCAAGTTACCGGCCATCCACTTCCAGTAACCATCACGCTCCTTCTTGAAAGCAAACATCGACTTGTAGGTGTCGCGGAAAGCGAAGTTCAGGGCCTGGGTAGGGAAGTATCGGATAACATTGGCAGTGTTACCTCTCCACAGGGACATGACACCTTCGTTCTTGGCGGTACGGCTGAAGCACTCGACGATGCCACTGTATTTGCGGTCAAGACGACCAGCCTTGATCATTTCATCCTACAGATCTGTGAGCTTTTGCGTTTCATATTGCTTGTAGAGCGTTGTAGTTTTTCCCCATGTTTGTGGTGTCGCATGTCCTTTCAAAGGGGACATGTTCACTTATCAGCTCTTCACTGACAAGTGAATTGTCACCACTGTCGATCGGATGTGCGGGAGGTAGCATGGGAGTAGGTGTGCGTACCTGATTCTGGATCAAGAGCTTAACACGCTCAATGGGCGCAGCGGCGGTTTTCTGTAGTCTGTCAGCTCTCACATTCTAAGCTATTGTCAATCAGTTCAGACTCACCGAGACAGCGGCAGAAACACCACCCATCACTGCAATCATGTCAGTACATCAACCGTATCAGCTCAAAAAGGGTAACGGACTGAAATCAATGATGAAGGGGGGAACGCCAAAAATGGCTTGCCTGCCCTGTGGTTCAGCCATCTTGATGGTGTTTTGAGAGGCAATTGAGTGGAGAGAAGGGTTGTTGATGAAGCGAAGATGCAGGGAAAGATACGAAGGAAGATGAAGTTGAAGCGGACAGGTATTTTTTCAAAGGGATTGGAGCTCCAGGTCGGCTAAACCATAGTGGGACTAGTGCGGATCTTGAGGGTGCGTTGCAGCGCAGCGTGCTTAGTACAGGTAGGATAAGAGCGGTGCTGCCGAGCGACCGGATTCTCCTGTTTTTCCGCCCGGGCAATTATCGTCCGCAATCAAAAAATTCGCCCTCGTCGATGGAAAAAGGGAGCACACCCACTCGCTCCCTGAAGCCGCACCTCGCACCCTCCGTCGCTCTCTTCTGCGCCGTCGAATAGCGCGCCCTCAGCGCCACTGTCGCTAACATTTCAGGTCTTTCCTCGGTCTTCGGGCCATAGGCACCTCGTCCTAGCCGCCGTTCTTCCGTCCAATTGCTCCTCTCCAGAGTCCACTGTGTCTCCCTCCCATCGATCCATACGGCTTTTCGAGATTGCAGTAGCACAACCCACATCCCCAAGGCATGCGGCTCTGGCCACCTGGTGGAATCGTTCTTGAGACAAGCTATCGGCGATCCGCCCGGGTCCAAGTTCAAGTCAATACCATTGATGGTTGTACATATCATGTTCCTGTGTGAAGCAACTCTTGACTCTACGCACAAGCCCGCCAGGGCCAACGAGGCCGAGCACGTCTAGATACGCCCAAATCTTGAAAATACTTTTATGGTTCGGATCGTTCACAACTGGCAAAAGTAGGTATGTCCCAACTTATGGCAAGGCCGAGGGTCGGATTTTTTTTGAAATACAAGAATATTGAGTGAACATAACCTAGTAGTGAATCATGCTAGACATGCACAAGACCTGTTGCGAGAAAATGGGTGTCCTTCGTCATTAACAAATGTTGGTCTCTTTTTTCGATGCTCTATCATCCTCGAGCTGCCCCATTTGTCGTTGCCCTTAGTCCCTATGCCTTCACTGCCTTCGCCGCCTTTCTCGCCATTTTGTTGGTGATCCGGTGCAACTTCCCAAAGCAGGATTCGCAAACCCAAGGCATGAGGGATGAGCATATATTAGATGGGAAAGAGTTTCGCCGCCAGGCTTTGTCAACGACTGTGTTGCAACGTGGGCATCGGCCGTCAGAAGGTTTTGGAGGATCAGTCAACTTGGTGGGAATTCCTTTCCTTGCCCGGCGGACCATTCTCAAACACTGGTTACACATCCACGCATACTTGACATCGTCGAAGTCAGGATCGATTTGAAGTCCTTTGGGTTTCACTTTATGACAGTGCGGACATGCTCCACCAGGGTTTGGGTAGCGCTGAATCAAGTCTCGGTTGTTGGGACGGGGTACCTCTGTCTTTGGTCCTTCGCGATCCCGTTCGGCTTGGCTATAACAAAGAAGACAGACCCACTCAAGAGAATCGGGGTCCAGACGCCAGATTGCAGTTCCTTGGCCGGTGATGCTCCTTGGACATCGAGTGCAGCGTCCATCAGCAGGTTTCGGCAGCCTGATGTTGATTGTATGTTGGACGACTTCCTTTGGTCGTAGGATTCCGTTCATATCTCGGTATATCCAGCAGTTGGCGCAGATGCGAAGTCCGTACGGAATCTTGGAGTCGAAGCTGTACTACTGCTTCGTAGTGGTTGCCTGGCAGTCGGGATTCGCACAAATCTCATGTTTGGATCTTAGACTCAGTCCTTGAAGCATTTGGACCGCCGAATTAAGCCCTTTGGGTTCGAACGTGGCGTGGAAAGACGGCCGGGCCTGGTGGACAATGCGGAGTGCGGCTTCTGTGGCGAAAGAATTAGGATTTGCCGTACAAAATGCATTGACGTAGATAGTTCCGATCAGTTGCTGGAACAGTACATATGGGTCCAAGTGTTCGTCTGGATGGTAGATACTGATAATTCTGACACAAGACGAGATGCCGGCCTTGGCCAATCGTGCTTCATGACGACCGTGATCTTCAAGGCGATGGTTTGGAATGCCCTTCTTGATGATGTTACGGTAGTATGAGCATCGACCATGGAAGCCCTTTTGTCCTCTGGTAGAACCTGAATAGGTGAAGAATTCCGAACCGTCTTCGATCAGGTCGATGTAGGTCCCGTGTAAGAGTAGGTACCTCCAATCAAATGGCAAAAACTTGAGATGCTCTGGCTTCAAGTCGACATTGCCAAGGATGATTTGTGTAGTGACAGGAGTATGATTGATGAGAACGTCGGTGGCGTCGTCCACCGATATTCGGCTGAGGAACGCCCACCAGTTGAATGTCATTGGCCTGGTACTTGAGGTTGCCCTCAGTGTATCGGGGTCGGCAATACTTTTGGCGGATGAACAAAGGGTGGCAACGATGTGTCTGAGTCTGGCTCTATACCGAGAGATGCAATCTTCGTGGCGCCATTGTGGCACGGGTGTATGTATGCGGTCGTCCCATCGTTCCAGATATTTCCTCACCTTGGGATGAATCTCTCCGACGGGCACAGCGTCATTGATACTGATACTGTCCATACCAATATCATCGAGAAAACCATCGTCAATTTCGAGCTCCTGTTGGTCCACGAGGACGCCGTTTTCATCAAGTTCCACTTCGTCGTCGTTGGGATCAATATATGGATGCAGGTCATGCGATGAGGTGTAGTCATCATTGATTTGATAGTTGTTGTCTTGCCCATAGCTGACTCCAGGCTTTGGCACACTACTTTCGTCGACTGTGGAAGACTGAGGCTGGTATGCAAACTCCTGATTGACTGTGGACATCTGTCCGGCTAGGTTCTGGTATGGCAAGTTCAGTGGTATGGTCGGGAGGAGCGGGGTTGATACGGCCGAAGAGGATGAAGTCTGAGTAGGTGTATTGAAACTAGAGTTTGAGGAAGCCTGTGGGCTGGACGCTGAGGAAGCCTGGCCTGAAGTCTCACTCGATGTCTTGGGTTGCGTTCGAAACCCAGCATTGAAAAAGAATGCGGTATGCTTAGCTTTCAGCTTCTGCATTTGTGAGGTGCGGCGCTTTGTTTTTGCCATAATGCCTCGGAACGTCAAAAGAGTGATCTCGGTCGGACATCCAAATCCAAAACACCGGTGGACATGAGGAAGAGGACAAGTATTGGAAGCCTGCCATGACTTTGGTGACAAGTGTCGTGTAAATCGGGTAGGCGCAGGTCCATGTGTATTGATGAGGAAGGTATGGTAGATCCTATAGCGGAATGCTCGACCTTGAATTGCAGGTACAACTTGGGAAGTTTCTGACGGCTCAATGTCCGGCGGCGTGGTAGGTTACTCTGACCATACCATACCGAGATCCGACAGGCAGTGTCGTAGTTGTCGTGTGTAGTCCGTAGTGTGTAGATGTGAGGATGTTCGCCGGGCAAGGTCGTGCTTGTCATGAGTGTGTAGATGCGAGTATATCCAACGTATAACGTCAAGGTGCTGCCACGAGGGCTCAGGGGCTGGCCCAATACCTGTCGCAGTTTAACCTGGATATCCACCACATTCCTGGGAAGATGAATGTGGCTCCGGACGTATTGTCGCGGCTGGAAGCCTTCGAAGAACGAAATGTGGCAGAAGACGACCAGCTGAATAACATCCTGTTTTGCGAGGCCCTGATGGACCCGGTCTGGATAGTTCCCTTTAAATGAATTACCAGGCTGATGAGAGAATGCGGAAGGTCTGGGAAATGCTCTCCAACGACCAGATAAGGCACGGTATCCCCTTCGAGATCTAGGGTGGGTTGCTCCATTTCGTGGGAACACCGGGAAAGAAAAGACTGTGTATTTCCATGGAGAATTCCATTTGGGAGTTGATCGGATAGCGAGAGAACTCGACGGCTTTATGTTCCATAGATTAATAAAGCAGCTGATGCTTTTCAACGTATACTGTCCTACCTGCCAATTAAATCAGACATCCCGTAGAAAACCGGCCGGAGAGATGATGCAGAACAGGAGGAGAGCAACACCATCAAACTTGTTTCGAGACAATAAAGGGACAGCAGATCTCCTTTCAGGGCTGGAAGTTTAGCTGGTGGATGACACAGAGTAGGAAATAAATTGATTGGCGCTTGGCGAGGAACAGGCTGTACTACCTAGGTATTAAATACTGGGATCCGTACATGTACCTACCACCTACCTACTAATATACATGTACTTACCAGCGTGCCTTTTCATCCTGGTCTAACAAACACACACTTGGCTTCAATCACTGTATCGGTATAGTCGTACAGTTCGTCCTGGTCGACTCATCGTAACCTGCCTCAGCCTCACCTCAGCTCAACTTGGTATCTTCATCTGGCCACAGATCCACATGCAAAACAAGACCACAGCAACAACCTAGTACCGTCGAACGCGAGAGTCGAGAACAAGGACGACGAGGATACAGGGCACAGGGCACAGGGCACTGGACACAATGGACACCATTGCTGTCGGTGCCACCACCCGGCTCCGGCGGACATTCAAATACCCTAGCGACGACGACGACGACGGGTCGGATGCATCGCACGACGAGATGGACGAAGAAGGTACGTACGTATGTTTGGAAGTCGAAGTCGAAGTCGAAGTCGAAGTCTATGTTTATCTGTCTTTCCTGATCCTTGTTCCTTTCTCTTCCCCCCACCCCAAGACGGAAACGATGAGGATGAGGACGAGGACGAGGACGAGGATGACAGAGATGCCCAATTCTGTTGACCGCTCTGCCCTTTTACAATTGATACAATGAATGTCCCGGGACGAACGAGCTACCTCTACCTCTACCCTCTGCTCTGTATGACAGTGGTCAGTGTGGTTGGCGCAAGATGATGTCAAATCATTCTTCGACTCTGACTATGACTCTGACTCTGACTATGACTCTGACTCTAACTACGACTCTGACTCTAACTATATGGTCTCCAGAACAAGAACGGCTCCTCGCCGACCTCCGAGCCTCCGAACTGGCCTCCAACAGACGCTACACGCTCGTCCTGACCGGGCTGCCGCTCGTCGTGGTCCTCCCGTTCGTGCAGTACTTGACCATCTCGACCACGACGTCGATGGCCATGCTGTGTCTGTTGAGCATCACGTCGCTCGTGGCCAGCGCCTATGTCATGTATTGCATCCCCATCGGCAGTTCAGACTCAGACTCAAAATCGGACTCAAACTCAGACCCAGATGCGGGTGCGGGCGCGGGCGGTACAGACAGATCCCCGTCTTCCATCTTCGCCCCGACAGGATCCCACCCCTACGGCCAAAGACAAAGACAAAGACAAGGCCGGCGCCGGCCACGACCACGGCTCCCGCTTCTCACCGTGTCAGACGCCCCGACCAGTCCTGTGACACAATACCTGCCGACTCTCAATGCCGCCATCGGCGCACTCTTGTGTCTGGCCTCAATGGCCTACCGTGCAAAGCCGCGGCCCGATGTCCCCGAGGGCCTGTGGCTGTTTCTCCTGCTGCCTCCGCTGGTCTTTAGTATGGTCTACGTGGCGAAGAGGAGCATGCGTGACGTCCAGACCGGGTTGGGCGAGTTGCAGGGTTTGAGGTACGAGTATAAGGGAGCATGATCATAATCATAATCACAATCGCATTTGCATTTGCATTTGCCTTTGCCTTCTGGAACATGTGGAATGTACATGATGTTGATGTCGGACAAGCGTGGAACACAGAGTATAGCCCAACCCAGACGGGGGTGACCTGTAGCATGCAAGTGCTGACGCTGAAGAAAAGCTCTGCTAGAGCCGTATCTTGGATCAACTGAATCCGATTCCACCCTCCTCTCTCAGAATAGTGCTGCGTTGGATGATACCTGCCCAATCCTCCAAGGCTAATGATACAGTAATGATTCACGCCAACTTCACAGAACGGCACTGTCTATGCTTCAGCTTTTGCATCCGCAGCCTTTTTGGAAGCGGTTTCGACTTGAGGCCAGGGCTTCTTTAGGGCATCTTGGATCAGGACTACACATCCCTTGGGGCCGCTCACGGCACCTAGTCATCAAATTGTCAGTCGGGACCAGGTTGACAAGGACGGCAGTTATAAGTTATGGCTTGGCTTACCGTTGACAACCACAATTCCATTCTCAGCATCTGCCTGTAGAACTCGGAGGTTCTGCACCGTATTCCGCTGTCCTCCCATGTTTCCCGCCATCTTCTTGCCGGGATACACACGGCTACCACCACCTTGGCCCTGGCCCAGTGAACCATGGGATCGGTGACTGAGAGATTGACCGTGACTCCGATCTTGACCGTGGAAACCCCATCGCTTCATGGGACCTGCAAACCCTTTCCCCTTGCAGTTGGACCGCGTGTCCACGAACTGTCCTTCCAGAAACCAATTGGCTCGAATTTCCTCGCCGACAGGTAATAGTCCGTCACGGCCCCGAACGCGAAACTCTTGCAGATGCCGTTTGGGGCTGACGCCTTGGACAGAAAAATGGCCGAGCATTGGCTTGGTGACGTTCTTGGGATTGACGGTGCCACTGCCCACACAGACAGCATAGTATCCATGTTGCTTGCGCGTCTTGTGACTGACCACCTCATTCCGATCCAGCTGCAGTACTGTGCAAGGTATCCTTTTCCCTGACTCGGCATCGTATATTCCTGTCATTCCTTTCTTGATGGCCAGAGCTCCGGTTCTCAAGGGGAGGGTATCGGATTTGATTCTGCGCTCGAAAGCGGCAGCCTGAGATGAGAGGAGCGGTTTAATGCCAGGGACGACATTGTAGGGACTGTGCTTGGGGTGGCCTTCTATTGATTTGATACCAAAGGATCGGGTTTGTGAGCCGTTGAGAGGTTTTCGGAGGAGCGAGCGAGGCAGGAGGAAAGGCGGAGGGAGAGGGACGGCGAGGAGGTTACAGGCAGTCGGCGGCATCTTTGTGGACGCGCGCAACGACTACCGGCAGAGGAGAGGGACTGCACGGGGGAGATAGTGCCGTAGTCGGAAGCCACCGTTGGAGTTGAATTCGAAGTCGAAGTCGGGCTGCTTGTCCGCTCTCAACTGCGGATTGAAATATCGCGACTTGGCGCAGCTGGATGACTAAGATCTTGGTCATCCGGCCCAGGACAGCCACCGCAGCCACCAGCGGCCCGTCGCCCGCTACGCAGCTTGGGACGACAGTCGACACCTCTACCAAGGTCAGGTGGGAGCTGGCAGGGAGGTGGGTTGTACACGTATAGACCTTCGTTATCAGACGCAGAGCCATCCTGTTACTTCGCACCACTCCCATTCGGATAGCCCAACAAGCCGGGTGTTGTGCGAATCAACGGGTTGCGAACCATCCGAGTGCCAGTGGCACGTCGCATCCTCGACTTTTGTGTGACGGAAGAGCCAAATACGGTTTCAGCAGAGCGGGGTTTGATCGCTACTCGTCCATGTCTGGTCTAGAGCTTGCGAGAGCTGCCCAACCTCAAGTGCAATCAGGCAGGGTTTCAGGCCGATGCAGCAATGCCATCCCGATGGCCATTGAGTGCATACCCCTCCTTCGTCATGGCTGCAAGAAATCAGGAAGACACTGAGGTGAGGCGGCCAAGGAGCGGAGGGGGTATGGTGCAGACAGCATCCGCCTGTTTCAGCCTCCTCCATCTACCTGAGTGAGTTGTTTCACGGCCGACGCACTGTACGTTTGGCACGCTCATCGCCTTAGACCCAAGCACGACTTGACTTCCGTTCGCCATCAGCAAGCATGCGGCGTCGGCAATCCCTCGTCCCTGATCTCTTCCATGTCAAGCGGACCATTGTGACGAAAGCTCCGCCGTCCATCCATACCGAAATCTGCGGCACGTACACCGACATTGACTCGGCGGAGGCGGCGGGCTTACATCGACTTGAAGATGAAGGCTACACTCGATCCAGCCTCAGCGAGTATGCAGAGAACCATCTCACCGGGGCGCCGTCTTCAACCTGGCAGTATGGCGACAATGTCCTCGTGCATGCCCGCCACGGCGACGAGATCCACGATGTCGAGATCGAGACCACGCCGAATTCGCTGGGAGTGCGCTCCAAATCCTCCGATGGCAGAGTGTGGGACAATTTGTTCTATCTACTCCGCACGGTGCAGAGCAAGTCTGGCTCGGTCAACACGGAAATCAGGGGGATACACCTGTCCAAGCAGGCGGCGGTGGCGGCGGCGAGGCATGAATTGCTGAGCGGTGAACACGGGCGGGATTGGTATCTTGAATACGATGAAGCCCCGGTGTCAGCTCGAGACGACGACACGTCGAGCCAGTTTGTGGTGAGCGCCATGGGCCAAGATGGCGTGAGGTACGTCATGAGTGTGACGCATGAAACTTGAACTGGCTGGGACTGGGAAGCAGTCTCCTCTCCGCACTGTCTTTGGTCTTTGGTCTTGCTGCGATGGTGTGACAAGGCGGGCCGGGGTTCTGGCTTACCGAAGTCAGGTACTCTCATGCCAGAGAAGAGGAAGACGATGGCGACGGGAGTGGGAGTGGGAACAAACGACGAGGAGAATGGTGTTGCATTCTCGCTGGTCTACCCTCGTTTTTGTCGGCGGCGGCGGCGATTGCAGAAACACACAGTACACAGTTCCTGCCAGGCCACGCCGTGCCGATTGTCTTGGAGTCCCAGCTCTGACGATGCAGCTGTCATTACAGAGGACGGATTGAGCTTTGTTCCATGTACTCGTACTTGCATGGACTTGGACTTTAGAGGACACCATGACGGTTTAAGCATTGCAAGTCATTAATGCATATGGCTATCCATCTATCATCAGATCCATGACAGTACTGCTGATGCTGACGGTGACGCCTACATGATTTCGCTGACTGGTCCGACGTATTCGTATTCCGTCCCCAATTTGGGCGCGGGGAATTGCATGACATCGACCTGTGGCTTCACCTTACAAAGACAACCTTCTCCTTTCTATTCCCAGCACCCAAGTTGGTGCCAAGCTGTGCGTTCTTCTCTCAGCAACTACAGTGCTACTGACTACTAGTAGTACTTGGTCGCAATCCCTCCAGCTCAATCAGGATGTCGCTCTCCCCGTCCACATGGCGTGTCCTCGGCCGTTCGGTCAGTACAAGTTATATCAGCTTAGGCATATTCGCCATCACCTACCCCGTAGTGGCGGCGAAGTGCTTTGGGATCTATCCAATTACCGACGACACTGCACTTGCAGCCAAAGCCACAGGCACAGCTACAGCTACAGCCACAGGCAACGACAATGGCCACGGCCACGACCACGGCAATAGCCTGACCACGGACAAACAGAGACATGCCAGCGCCGTGTTGACGTCGATGCGCCTTCTTGGAGCGCGCGACCTCAGCATCGGCATTGCATTGGCCTGGCTGGATTACCAGGAGAAGCCGCAGGCGGTAGGAACGGTGATTCTGAGTGGGCTGGTGTTGTGTGTGGTCGATGTGTACGAGATCTGGCGGCTCCGTGGGTGGCAATGGGCTGCCGTGTTTGCAGCAGGGGCTGGTCTTTGGATGAGTGTCGGATACGGGCTGATGCAGTAGGAGGAGGAGTAGGGGTAGGAAACATGGCGGGCGAGGCGATCAGGCTCGCTGTCGGGTCCTAGGGCTTAGGAGGCCCTAAGGCCATCGACTTCTAGTTCCTATACTAGGTACTAGTTAATAGTACCTGGTGATATCAATACCGATACTCCCGAGCACCTAGGTACCTACTCCGTCGATACAGTACCTAGACACCGACCCACCTAATAACGCCCTAATAACTGAAAGTCGGCTACTGGATTGGGAAATTGTCGGTGGGCCAAAGCGGTTGAGAGCCTTATCACCTGCTCACCTGCTCACCGTCCCGCAGTCCCGCAGATAAGAAATATGTACTCCGTAATGTGTGGACATACACAAGACTCAGTACATCCTACAGACTAACTACCTAGGTAATAGTGGTCCTGAGAGCCGCATCAGGTCAATCCCGGTCCTTGCCCAGCTCAATAGCTCGAGATTCCGATTCAGATTCGGCCCACGCGATCCGCTCCAGTCCAGCAGTTTGGTACCTACCGATTCCCGATCCGATCGATGCCATGCCACAGGGCTCGGAGGTCCAGAAGGCTTCGGAGGCTATTGCCGTGCCTAAGGTGTGCGTGGCTATAAAGAGCAAGACCATGTCGGCATGGCGCCAGAGGACATGGCTGAACTGAAGAAAGCCTGCCCATCTTCATCTTGACATCGACATCACAACATGAGATTCACCGCTTCAGTCGTCGGGCTTTGCGCCGCGCTGCATGCGGCCGCCGCCTTTTCCGTGAGGAGCTTGAGCTTGAGCTTGAATGCGACCGGGACACAGCAGCTTGATGCGCCTTACCTCTCCAACGACAGCAGTTACTTTCCTCAGGCCGGTGCTGAACCCTGGGACAATCCCAACAGCACCGTCAAGCCGCGGGTGTCGGTGTCGGGCGATGCAAACCCCTTCCCCATGGCCGAGTGCTACGGCGTGGCCATCGAAGAGGCGACGATCGACCAGCTGCAGGCCTGGATGACCAGCGGCAAATTGACCTCAAGACAGATCACGCTGTGCTACCTCGGGCGCATCTTGCAACTGAACGAATACGTGAAGTAAGTCTCGACTCGACCAATGTCTGCCGTGGAGCGAGAGAAGGCTGGATGGCTGGATGGCTGACTGCTTTCTCCTCAGTGCCATCCTCGAAGTCAACCCAGATGTGCTTCTCATCGCCGACCAGCTGGACGCCGAGCGTGCCAATGGCACCGTCCGTGGTCCTTTGCACGGCATTCCCGTGGTGGTCAAGGTAAGTTGTAACCATCTCCCGTCTACCCTGCTGCTGCTGCCCATGTGCGGCCCGGCAGGGAACCCATAACTCATACCCCCTGCTCACCCTGGACCAGGACAACATCGCTTCCAAAGACAAGATGGAGACCACGGCTGGGTCCTGGGCCCTTCTAGGGTCCGTCGTGCCGCGCGACGCCCATGTGGTCAAGCTGCTGCGGGAGAAAGGCGCGGTGCTGCTGGGCAAGAGCACGCTGGACGAATGGGCGTCGATGCGCACCAACTACAAGTCGTCGGGCTACTCGGCGCGCGGCGGCCAGGCTCGCAATGCCTTCAACCTGTCCACCGCGCCGGGCGGCTCGTCGTCAGGCTCCTGCCAGGCCGTGACGGCCAACATGATCCCCATCGCCTACGGCACCGAAACCGACGGCAGCGTGATCGGCCCGGCACGGCGCGCCAGCCTGATCGGGTTCAAGCCCACGGTCGGGCTGACGTCGCGAGCCGGCGTGGTGCCGGAGTCGGTGCACCAGGACACGGTGGGCGCGTTCGGGCGCACGTTCAAGGACGCCATCTACGCGCTCGAGGCGATTGTCGGCGTGGACGCGCGCGACAACTACACGCTCGCGCAACAGGGGCCCGCCGACGGCAACTACACGCAGTTCCTGGCCAGCCAGGATGCGCTCAAGGGCGCCGTGTTCGGCCTCCCCTGGCTCTCGCTCTGGAACCAGACGTCCAACAGCGCGGACCTGCCGGCGCTGCTGAAGGTGGTGGAGCGGCTCAAGGCCGCGGGCGCCACCATCATCAACGGCACCGAGTTCCCGCACTACAAGGACGTGCTGTCGCCGTCGGGCTGGGACTGGGCGTACGGGGCGGCCCCGCTCAAGACGGCCCTGTACCGCGTCAACGTCGACTTCTACAACAACATCCGCGACTATCTGGCCGAGCTGAACAACACCAACCTGCGCGGCATCGAAGACCTGATCGCCTACAACATCCAGTACACCGGTGTCGAGGGCGGCATCCCCGGCACCGTCGCCGGCTTCAAGTCGGGCCAGGACGCCTTCCTCGACAGCGCCGCCACCAAGGGCGCCATGAACGCCTCTTACTACGAGTGTCTGGACTACCTGAACCGCGTGTCGCGTACCGAGGGCATCGACGCCGCCCTGTCCTACACCTACCCGAACGGCACCTCCGTCAAGATCGACGCCCTGCTGGTCCCTTCGGGCGGCGGCGCCACCAATCTGCCCGCCACCGCCGGCTATCCCATGGTCACCATGCCCATCGGCCAGAGCAATGCCCACGACGTCCCCGTCGGCATTTCCCTGATCGGCTCCGCGTGGAGCGAGCCCGCCCTGATCAAGTACGGCAGTGCCATTGACGATCTGATCCAGGGCCGCCAGACCCCGACCTTCATCGAGTGGTGGTCGAAGCTCGTCCCGGTCGACTATTCGCTTTAGGCCATTGCCATGGCAAGCGTGTCTCATTCAAGAGGGCCAAGGCATGAAACAAACAGAAACCAAGACATGAGACGAACCAGAAACCACGGCATACAACGACCAGAAACCACGGCATACAACGACCAGAAACCACGGCATACAACGACCAGAAACCAC